TACGACCTCCCAAGCGACGAACCCAAGGTCATTTTGCCTTGTCTCCTTCTAATCAATGATTGATTTCATCCATCCTTTAAAAACCCCGCCCTTGGGCATTTGGCAGCAGAACAGCAAAACTCAAGTGCCCAATAAAGCCAACCGTGTGCGGACCACATGGCGTATGATTATTGCGTATACGCAATGGGGTCACTTAAACATTATGAATTATGCATAACATGGGGCATTCATAATCATTTCTGCGGTGCGGCTACCCTTATCATTCCCGTTATTCATCCCTTCTCCACCTTCTATCCCTATTAAAATCTGCGCTTTGGCTGCTCATAAATGTTTAACGCACCTGCAACGGCTGAGGTCCCAAAAACAAAAAAAAATCTGACGGGACAGCTGGTCGTCCGTGTTAAGGACACACATAAAAATAATTTTCTTAGCATTTAAAAAATTAAATAGGTTTTAATTTAATAAAATAATGAATAATTTTACAATAATAAACAAATGAATAATGAATATTATTTTGTTTCAAAATGTTTAAAAATTATTAATACATATTCCTTTATTTAATTCTTATTTAAATGTATTTTTCCAAGTGCTTTTCAGCAGTGGGTGGAGAATTCCAGGGAACATGTGGCATACATAAGAGTGATCCCTTTTTTGCCAGACAGCTTTTCATGCCTGTTATTTGCGGCCAATGTGTGAAAGTGGCCCAAGTTTGGGAAGGAGGTCCGGGCCTCTCAGGTACACGAGTTCGTATTAGCCAACAATCAATGAACAGGGTCCCTGGAGAAAGGCCAACGAAAGGCTCACCCCTTTGCCCCCATATGATTATTATAGTTCCATGCATTGAGAACATAAATCACATGCCCACAGTTGAGACACGTCGCTAGCTGTGTCGTCACCCATCCATCCATCCATCCAAACAACCAACCAACCAACCATTCATTCATTCATCCATTCCTTCATTCATTCGTTCGTTATTTATTCATAGCAAATGCTGTTACCACCCCCTTCGGTTACTACCCTGCTCCCGCGTCCTTGCTGTCTGGCTGCATGAAATGTACAAAATGTTTGGGCTTAAATAAATACAGAAAACCTCAGTGCGAAAACCGAACCGAAAAGCCCCGGCCGCAGTAACAATGCGTCGCTTGTCGCTATTGTTGCCAATGCTCTGCAGCTTCCCCCGAATCCACAGAGAACGGGGTCTGCTCTCGAAACGTATGCACTTAGAAAAACTGCTTATACTAAATTTAAAATAAATACCTTTCAGAACCGGAAAGAAGGTTGAAGTCCCTAAAAAGGGTGTTTAGAAGAATGCAACAAAATCTTTTGAATGTTTTACTGCATATTTTTATGCACCTTTAAAGATATTTCAAAACGTTATTGATTTCCATGGTTTAAAATATCAAAAATAGAACAAAAATCGAATTATTCAATAAATTATATAAATATTAATTAATTAATTAATATATAATTTTAAAGACATTAATTCAAAGTCATAATTTCTAATTTAAGGGGATGAAAAAAATATATCTAAAAATCTTTTTTTGCATTTTCCGATTTTTTTATTTAATGGCAGTTACCTTAATTTTTTTTGAGTGCATCGCGCAGCATCCTGCCATCCTCCCATCTCATCTTGTTGTTCTAGGTACGTGTGTGTTTAGCGTAGCGTAAAATAAATCATTTTGCTGCGGTAAACACACACAGACGCGGTAAGAGAGCAAAGCTGAAGATGCTTGGGTGCATAGAGATAGAGATGTTGCGATAGCTGGTACAAATTGCCAGAAGCCAGATGATGACTCCTCTGTAAGCCCTAAAAAAATTAGTCGAATGAATAAAAATGAGTCATTTGTTTTGGGGGCAGGGGAGCTAGGAGAGAATTCTTGGCAATTTAAGCAGTTAAAATCGCTAGAAAACTTCCGTGGGCGTGGGTTTGTTTTTCGTTTTTTGGGGGCGTATGCGGGGATATGTGTGATAAGCCGACTTAGCTGCTCTCAAAATCTGGCTAATAAACGTGGCTGACAACGCACAAGATTGTGCGGAAAATTAACTGGGGATAAGAGCAACACGAGCTCCCCGAAATGCTGAAGAGTAAGTTGAGCTCAAAGATGGCAGCTAAAAAAATATATAAAAAATAGTTGAAGGCTCTGCATTAGGGCGGGTCGATTTGTATGGGGCCGAAAAAAGTGATGAATCGTATAGGGGGAACGTAATCTTTAAATGATTCTAAGCGATATTGGGGAACATACTTATGGTCTAAAATGACGTTTGACCCCCCCCCAAACGCGAATGAAAAATACTGATTTTTTGAGGAAAATATCATAGTAGTCAGCTCAGATGTATTTCTAAATTTGAAATAAAAATTTGAAATTGATATTCAGTAATATATCTGTGCTGACTACTATGATATTTTTCTCAAAAAATCAGTATTTTTCATTCGCGTTTGGGGGGGGGTCAAACGTCATTTTAGACCATAAGTATGTTCGCCAATATGGCTTAGAATCCTTAAAAGATTACGTTCCCCCTATACGATTTTTGGGGTCCCAAATCGACCCACCCTACTCTGCATAATGTATGCTAAGTGTAAGGGCAAAAGTTATCCAACTCAAGCCCAAAAACTTTTTTATAATTTCCATGTAGGTAAGCCAACAGAGTTTTCAGGGTAATTTTAGCTTCCCAAAGTAAATACATGGATAGAAAAAATGGTTAATAACTCGTTACAACTTTGTGTGCACAAATCAATTTATAATGGACACAAATCAATAACCTAATCAAATATTTAGGCTAAGCTTTTTACGATTATGAGCGTTTTATTGGACGTTTTTATGCGACTCGATTAATGAAAAATAAACGTCAAAATAGCCCTCGGCATATTGAACTGAAATAATCGAGTGCATTTTGGTTTTTCCTTTTCCATAATATTATTTTAAACCGAAATGAATGCCAAACCTGCGGTTCTCTGTCAAGCGGAAAACGGAAACAAACCAAAAGCTTAGCCGCACATAAATACATTCCGACTGACAAACTGCAAACAATTAAAATGTATTTAAATCAAATAGATGAAACAAAGTAAAGTAATGTCCAAAAAATGTGTCTGAGTTTATAAGCTTTTAGTAAATCCGTTTAAACGTTTTACAAATTAACAAGAGAATGTTACGAATATTAAACAAAGAAATTTAGAAAATAATAGAGTCATTAATGAAATTGTTAAATAAATATGTACAAACCTTCAAAAAGATAAGAGGAGAACTAAATCCAACATCAAAAAAAATTGAGGGGCTGCAAAATTAAGTTTTTCATTGCCAATTTATTCATGGCTTTCTCTAATTAACTTTTACGCATTTGGACTAGACTGAAAAGCGATATAAAGTCCCAGGCTGGGGGCATGTGTACCGACTTCTACCTGGGAATTGTGCGTAATTCAATTGCGCCGAACCCCCGGATTCAACTGACCGGAAGCACTAAAAGCTGACTGCCTGCCTGCACAAATATAATTAAAATGCTCTACAACTAGAAGAGGGGGAAATGTATAAAAACAGAGAAATAAATAAGAGTAAAACTTGTCATTTAATGTGCTCCGCTTCGTCAAAGGAAAAAAGGATCTAAGTAGAATTGATGAGGGGACCCTCTAAGAGAAAAAATAAATTGAAGTTCTAAGTCGAGGGGAGGGTTCTCATTTTGACTTAAGTCCCCCGATTCGTTGGCCAAATTTAAGAGCCAGTCATTTTTTGGCTTACTTGCAACTTGTTCAATTTCTCGCACTCCAAGATCTTTGGGTTTCTTCCGAATTTTTCCAGCCATTTCCTGCTGCATTTCTGCACCCTTTTCTCCCGGCTGCAGTTTGTTGTTTTGTTGTTGCCAATTTCAAATACACGAATGTTGTGTTATTTCCGTCAAAAGAGTAATTAAACGTACAAAGCAAACGACATTTCAACACATTTCAGGGACGCAAGTAGAAGGCACCAGACAGAAGCGAGGGTCGCTAAAAATATATAAAAAATTAATAATTGAGTAAAAAATAAATAAATTTAAAATAAAAAAAAAATAATTTTGAGAAATTAATATTTTTTTATATTTATTATACAATTTTAAAATTTATAACAAAAGACAAAATAAAATATTGGAATCAGTAGTTTGCCATTTTTACAATAATGTTTAGAAAATAACTTATTGTTAAAAAATAATATTTCTTAAAGTGTTTCTAAAGAAATCATTTAATTTTTAATGAAAAGTGAAAGTGATATCAATCAAAGGAAAAACATACAAAATTAATTAAAATAGCAAGATTGGTTGATAATGACAGTTTTATAAATATAGAACAACAATTAAAAGGTAACCCTAGTTAACTAATATTTACAATCACTAAACTGTAGTTTAAAATATTTTTTAATCATATCTCTTTGAGCACCCCTCGCCCTGGCATCCAGGCGTTTGTCCATTTGGCTTCTCTCTGGCTTCTTAGGGCCGGCGGTCATTGCGGCTCAGTCCGGCTCTCTGTGGCCTTCATACGAGCCAAAGACAGCCAAAGAGGTCCTGTGAAAGGGAGGAGTGGGGTGTTGAGGTCGAGGAAGGATGCAGGATGCAGGAAGCAGGACAGGGTTGTCAGTAACCTGTGAGCAAAACATTGTAAATAAAATGCAGCTGAATTCCGGAAGGGGGAGGTAGTTGAGTTCTGTGTCTGGCTTGCTGACCTGCGGCGCTTTTGTGTTAATTGCGGTTGCATTTAATTACAGTTCGTTGCAACTGGCCAGCTTTTCTCGGCTGCATTGCATTTTCCCCATTCCCCATTTTTCCCCACTTTCCCGCACATTTTCCTCGAAACCAAGCCAAGAACTGTGTTGCTAAGCTTTTAATTAAAATTAAAAATATTTGGTCTACTTTGGCAGCTTGACTTTGGCCAGAGTTTTGCCATGCAGGCCATAAACCAACATTGTTTATTTGCCAGCCAATCGCTATAAATCACAATTGCACATTATCAAAGGTAAATTAGACCAAGTTTATTGAACCAACTGAAATTCGAAGTTTATTTGTAAACCGCAATGATATCCACAATGCTCACATAGGTGCCCACAACTCCGCCAAAAACTCCAAAGCTCAAGAGCAACAGATTGATGATTAACTTTATCCGGAACGGTCCATAGCCCTCGGTATATTGGACACAGATCTGAAGTAAGGCGGGAAAGATTAGGCCCAGGATCGACAGGCAAAAGGATCCCACCAAGGAGAGGAAGACCGATAGATCAGGAATGGCAACAGCACAGCCAACTAAAAAAAGGAAGAGATATACATTTATTCATTAGAAATCACAAGACTTTTGGAATCTTTTATAAATGTGTCTAAAAGTAGGGACAAAAATATTTTGGTGCATACTTTTTGACACCTTTATAAATATTTAGAATGGCTTTAAAATAACTATAATAATACTAAATAAATATAGGTATCACTTACAAGTGAGCAGCACAATAATAGCCCTGAAGATCAGTTCATATATCGACTGTCTGCTTTCCTTAAAGCGCTTGGCCAAGTATTTATCCCACAGAATATGGGCAGTTACATAGCCTTGCAGGGCATAAGAAATCCAGGTGGTGATTGCAAAGAATACCTTTACCACCTGAGCGGGTCTGAAAAGAAATATTACACAATAATACCAAACCGAAAGGTAAAAACTTAAATAACATTAAGCAACTCACATTTCAGACTGTGGAATATTAAGTGTAATACTGCCCTGACTCTCGTCGCCATATTTCCAGTAACCAAAAAATCCAAGAAGTACATATAAACCCAGAACTATGGACATGCCACCATTCAAAATGCCACAGGGGCCTACGAAGGACCTGGGCGTGGCCATATTTTCCTCTATGGCTAAAATCTTAAGTGGGGAAAAGAACATTTTTAATTAGGTTTTTCAAAATTAAAATAATACATGTAACCTACCACACCAACAGCTTCCAATGCAAATAGGACCGTGCCAAAGAAAGTAGGCAACTTTGAGGCGGCCACAAAGGGTTCTCTTTCACTTAAAGGAGGCAGCTCCTCAAATATATAATACAAAATAATGCCAAAACCTGTGAAAAAATGATTTAAATCAATTTCAAACTTTGCTAAATAAAATAAATAATTTTTTGTAAAATAAAACTCACCCACTAGCAGCAGAAGATTTGCTGCACTGGAAAAAGGTGCCAGTAATTTTAAATTCTTGATGCTGTAAATCAGCAAAAGTGGCACTATTATTATGCACATGTGTATTCGGACATCCCACACCACAAGATACTCATCCACCAACTGCTTTATGCTCTCAGCTATGAAAACCACATAGACGCAGCAGATACCAAAGTGATAAAAGGCCAGGAAGCCATCAACAAAGGGTCTGTAGGGAAAATATTTTTTAAAATTAGTTCTTTAAATCTTTTTAAAAATATAGCAGATCCTAAAAAGAATATAAATAAATGTACAAATCATATTTGTGGCTGACAACATTTTGAAATCATTATCATAATAATAAACTTAGTTCAATAAGATTGTTGTATTGTGTACCTCAAATGAATGGGTAAATTAATAACAAGTTATGTGACCTCTTCAAATAATATTGATAAGGTATACTCTATCAAAACACAATTTAAATCGATACAAAACATTCCTATAATAAATAAAGCTATTTCTTTTTTTTGTTACAAGGTATGCTACTCGTAATTGAAATCTACTGATTAAAAATAAGATAAGATTGGAATCACCCACAAAGTTAGTCATTAAAAAGCACTTAGAAAGATAATCAATGCAGCGTGCAGATTGCAAAATATTAGGAATTTTTATATATAACACCGAAGATTGTTTTGCTAAATAACTTTACTTACACGGAAATGGGGGCTAAGCAACGCAGCCAGGGTGGACCTTGTTTGAGGCCCAGATTCATGGCCTGTGAGAAGCTGACATAGGGAACTCGTTGTCGTTTGCACAAAATGTACATGCATTTGATCTAAAAAATTAGAATTAAAAATTATATGTTAAAAATAAAATAAATTAAGAACCCACCAAAATATGCAGGCAATAGAGGGCCAGGGATCCAATGATCAGTGTGAGAATGGTGCCATTTATATAACCCGCATGGGCAAAAGCACTGGGCATGGCCAAAACCCCAGTGCCCACAGAGGCCTTCAGGAAATGGGCAAAAGTCTGCCAGTTACTGGGGAAAACAAAGAAATAAACTAGAAAAATATTCCATAAATCCTTCATCGTGGAAAATCTCTGCTTACGTCGTGGGATTCTTCACCTCGCGGTGCTGATGAGGATCATAATCATCGTTACTGCCATTCGCCGGTTTTGTTGGGGTCGTTAATTCCAATGTTGTTGGGTAAACCGTCACAGTTTTTATATCGTCGCTGTTAAGCAATTAAGATTTGTTTTTTTGAGGTGAATTGATTGATTGATAAATGGTATTATGGGTAGTAAAAACAATAAAACCCCAAGGAGGTTATATTTTTCAACAAAAATTAAAAGTCATAAAAAATACCATTTTTTAACCGGGATTTAGTTAGGACAAATGTGGTGTCATTTATTGTATTTGCTCATCAGTTAGCTAATTTCTTTACAATCTTAAAACGAAACGAAACCAGAATAACACGAAGACGACTCACTTCATGACGATAAAGTAGCGACCGAGTATTTGATAAAGCTACTTGGGCTCTCGGCTCTATAAATCTTTTATCACACGCAATTAAGCAGCCCGAGGAGACAAGATCCGTGTTTTTTTGCGATTGCGAATTCCTGATTTAAACAGATTTTTAGGGGCAATGGGAATTCAACCGAATGCCTGGCCCAACGGACGGATACTAAATTTGAGATCCCGGTCGAAGCCGCTCAACACCTCTCGTTCGTAAACCGTGCTGATAATCTCAAAAAAGATAATTGTACGATTATAACCAGCGGTATCAAAATTTCTCGCAGGGGTTGCGGGTAAACAAAACGCAGCAAAACCAAAAATATATTGTGTGCACTTTTATTGTAAACAAAGACGGGGTAAAAAAAAAGAATTAAACGCGAATAAAGGCCTTAACCAGTTTGGTGATCATTTTTGAACCTCTCGAGAAGTTCAACAATTAATAAATATCAAACTCTTTACCTAATATATTTAAGCTTAGACTGGACTGAAACCAACCTTTTTAAGTTAGTCAATACTCCAACAATATTTCGTTGGAAGCTTTTTCTGGTTTTCCGTTTTACTTTCTACATCATCTTGCACAGTGGGTCGTTTTGGTTAATTTCTAAGAAAAGCTTTAAGGATCTTAATCTATAGACACCACAGTTTTTATTAACATCCCACAAAGTAACCTTTGATAATACCTTAACCTGTTATAATCAATCAATAAATACTTTCAAAAATACAAATATTAGGAAAAAATGCTCTCGAAAATGTCAAAAACACCATTTCGACCATTATTCCAAGCCGTAGTTCTTCGTCATCTTTGCGATAAAGCAAAGCTGAGCAGCAAACCCTCGAACACCCCACACCCACCAAAGGATCCGCCAGATGAGGGCTACCAACCGACCAGTGTGGATCATAATGCCATGGATGTGCCCGGATTCGTGAGTCCCTCCTCATTTCGCCAGTTCAGTGGACCCGATGAAAAGTTGGGACCCGGGGCTGGAAAAGCTCTGGCCTACAAGAATCCCCATTATTTCGGTTATCATCGGTTCTCGTTTATGGAACTGCTAAACACGGCTACGGAACTACGCGACGAACGACGTTTGGATGGAGGTCTTCAGGCATCCATAGAAGTCGATGAAGAAACCATTAGTGACGAGTCCCAACTGGAGACCATGAAAAAACTGGAAGGAGAGTGCGATGAAATTTTGGCAAATCAGGCCAAGCAAATTGAGAAAGAGAAATCTTCGCCCAAGGAGAAGAATCTGCAGGATATGAGCGATGAGGAGTTGAAAGATTGGTGCAAGAAGAAAGAAGAGGACATCAAAAAGAAGGAGCAGCTGAAGAAAGATGGCGGAAAGCCCCCAAAAAAGCTCGAGGATATGAGTGAAGAAGAGTTGAATGCCTGGTGCCAGAAGAAAGAAGCTGATATTAAAGCAAAAGAAAAGAAGAGACTGGCTGAGGAGAAAGCTAAATGTGAGGCAGAAGAGAAAAAGAAGAGCAATGAGGCCAAAAAGAAGTACGAAGAGGACGCAAAAATGAAGAAAGCAGCGGAAACTAAGAAGAAGAGCGAGGAAGTAGAGAAGAAAAAGAATGAAGAAGCTAATAGGAAGTGCGAGGAAGAGAAGCTCAAGAAAGAAGCAGAGGCTAAGAAAAAGTGTGAGGAGGAAGAGAAGAAGAAAAAGTGTGAGGAAGCGGAAATGAAGAAAAAGTGTGAGGAGGAAAAGAAGAAAAAGTGCGAGGAAGCGGTTATGAAGAAAAAGTGTGAGGAGGAAGAAAAGAAGAAAAAATGTGAGGAGGAAGCAAAGAAAAAACCATCTGAAAAGGAGCAGAAAAAGGACGAAAAATGCGCAGCAGGAGAGATGAAAGCTAAAACCGATGAAGAGAATTCGATCCTTCGTACATTTTCAGACTTTAAGAAAAAGTGCATGGATGCTTTGGAAAAAAAGGAATGTGAAGAGAAACAAAAGAAAGAAGCAGAAGAGAAGGCAAAATGTGATGCTGATAAGAACAAAAATGATGACAAATAAATCATTACCTTAATAAATAAATAAATAAGGCATATAATAAAATAAATAAATCAAAAAAAATCATATACTTTTGAACATAATTCTTAATGGATATTTTTTTAAGATTATTATTTATAATAATTATAAAATCAATATAAAAATCTAACTAAACCGTTCTTTAGTTCTACATTTAAGCTATATTTCGGTGCAGTATTTTTAAAACGATAAACTTTAGCAAAGCTTTTATTTGAAAAACTGGTATATCATGGCGGCTCCACCAGTGGTCACACTTTCCGAACCGCTCTCCCAACCGAAATAGAATCAGTTGTTCGGTGTGCGTGTGTGGAAAAAGTTCGAATCGACCGAGAGAAACGAGACATTCCGAAATCGGAAATACGTATTTTGAGTCATTCTACCGAGTGTCTATGCAAATTAAAGTGCGGCTCTCCCAAATCATCCAAAAGCCAACAGGTCGCCATCCGACTGAAAATAAAATAAAAACACACACGATAATCGGCAAATGAAACGGGCACAATAAAAACAAAAGCAGCTGGGGAACGCTTAACCGGTTTCAAATTTTCCATCATCGCACCGTTTTCTTGCCCATATATTTAAATTGCAGTGGATCAAAATATTTACACTCACAGGCGCATATATACGAATTCGCTAGAAATATATATGTCGATTGTGTGAGTTTTTGTTTGTGGTTGGCGGGTAAAAAAAAATTGTAGTTTCGGCCAAGGAAATTAAACAAATAAAAACAAAGCCAGACAGGCAGACATAACTGTGAAAATAAACCAACCAGACAGCCATGGGTTATTCCATTAAGGTAAGTGCCAAAATCGACCAAATCAAAGAGAAGAGAGAGCCCACGGGGCGTATGTGTGTTGCGATCTGTAAACCAGTTTTCGGACTTTTACCCATCTTGGTGCGTTTCGGGAATTCGACATATCTACATATATAAAAACAAAAAAAGAGACGGGATCAGTGAGATTTTTCGGTTCTTTTCGGGGCTTGTAATTAAGGTGCTATAAAACGCCGGGCCAAATTGAAATAAAACGCAATCTCAGTTAATTACACTATGGCACTAAGCCATCTGTGACTATACTAAGCCGGAAAACAGAACGCAATAGGCGAATTCATAAACCCAAAATATAGTGTAGATTATCTAGTCACATTGATTAACTGGCCTTGCGTTTTTTTTCGTTCATAATGCTTATCTGTCATTACAGTCTTTTGTCGGGTGGCTAAAAGGCTTACATACACATTTCGTTGACATTAGGCAACTTGGTCAATAATAGACGTCATCAAAAATATGGGTCCTCAAAATACAGACATTTACCTAAATTAACACTGAGAAAATTAAGAACTTAAAAGTCAAAAAAGGATTATAAAAATGTTTAAGTAAATTGTCACACATTTAAGGTTTTTATCAGGTGCATTTACAAATATTATATTTATATATTATATTATATTTATTATATCAAATAACGATTTACTTATCTTTTTTGCTGTGTATAGGAAATTTATTTTAATTAGTATATTTGATTACATCTTGAAATACCTCCCTACCGAAACCAAACCCTTGAGAACCACATTCTTAATAATATTTTTCATGTGTTTATATGTCCAAATAACCCTCAACTGACCACCCAGTGGGTGTGTAAATATATATTTGTATGTTCCTATATTTAATCAGTCTGAAAGTGAACCGGCAATCTTAACTCAAGTGGGAGTAGCCAACTTATCATGCTACCTTGTACACTTCATACTCATCAAAAGCTTTCTATCTATACTTCAATTTAATATTCTCACCGTAGTCATAAAATATTTTTTTTTGGCCTGCACGTCATTTTGGTAGTATTTTTCCCAGAATTTCCTGTAAACAAAGTGGGCAGATCTCTATCTAATTTCGAAGACTTAAATTTGCATTTAAATATAAGGTAATTAAGCCTCATCAAAAGTAATGGGGAGGAGCTCACTCGTTGTGCTTTTGTATATATTTGTACTTTTTATAATGGGTTTTAGAACTGGCTTTAGAAATGGTGTAATATATTTTTAATACACTTCTGTTTCAAATATTTTTTTTATTTTAATTGTTCTATTAAATTTTATATATTAAATTGCCTTCGTAATCTCGGAAATTTATTACCAACAAGTTGTCAATCTTTAAAATGCCATTGAAATCTCTCTACAAAATAGTTTCGATTTTCTCCAATAACTCAATTTATTCGATCACTAACAGAGAGATCATCAATTCAGCCTCATCAGTTTGTATTATATTTATTCTGATCAAATCACATTTGACACGCAAACCGGTCAAAGCTTATGCAACTCAGTAGTTATTAATGCCAAAAGGCTAAAAAATTCAGTGAAAAACAGTCTGTAATTGCATGTGCAATTTACAATTTTCTGCTGTCCATAAGCCTTAATTGTACATTAATAGACGTAGCGGCTGTCGGAGATAAGTAACCTCCAGATTCCCCGCCGCTATTACTTTATTTCTATATTCCTATATAGTAACGATAAGGCGGAGGCGGCGTCTGTCGATTAGTCCGACTTCCAACCGAAAGTGATAACTAATCATTGTTGACTTTTTCGCTGTTCTGCTGGCTTTCGTTAATATTTTTTTGGAGTGCCTAGAGTTAGTAGAAAAGAAACCATGCTGGTGGTAAGAAGTCGGGTGCATAGTGCAGATAATCTCTCAGGTGTCGCAGGTGATTCATTACTCATACGCCCCATACGGCTGTCCGATCTCGCGATCTTATCAGAAGAGCTGTACGTGCTTCTATTTTCGGGATATATACAAAAACATTTCCACGGGCGCTTTGTTTTTGCGCTCGTAAAATAAACCGCCGATAACATTTCATAAACAATACAAAAAAATAGCGGGGGAATTAAAAATTAAGAGAGAAGTTCTCTTAAAAACTATATTTATAGAGATATTTGTACCATCTATAGGGAAAATTGTTAGTTCTTCACTGCTTATAAATCATTTTCGGGATTTTAGCCATAGATCTGTAAAATATAGTTCCAAAACAGTTAATCAGCTTTCGTCTATTTAGGCTCCATAAATCTGACTTGCAAATGTTGAGGCCCATAAATAAACACCAAAATCGCGATCACGCCACCGTAGAATGTCGCCCGGCTCTCTTCCGTTCTCTTTCACAATTCTCTTATCACCCTACATTATCTGTTTTCGATCCAATCTCCTCCAGAACTGCGAAACGGGTGAGTTGGAGTACTTCTACACAGACACCGTGCGAGTGAAGAAACCCGCCTACGATGAGGAAACCGGTGAGCCGATTCACGATCAGATCATGAAGGTGCACTTCCGAAAACACACCAATTTCCATGTACCCAAGCACTTCCTCCGGGGCACAATGTGCGACGAGATGGACGATGTGATGGCCAATACGGTGAGACATGGATTAGCCACTGCACATCATCAAAAGGCTCCCAAGAAGGCGACGCCAGGTTATGAACGGGAGGATTACTGTAAAATGGATGGCGTGAGCAGCGTAAGTATTATACAAATATTTTCTTATAGCTAGGTATATATATTATTTCCTTCCTTTCTTGTATTTAATTGTATGTAGGGATCCCTTCTAGAATTTTTAATAGTTTTAAGTAATTGAAATTTAAATTAAAAAGGAATACTTTGATACTTGATCTTTAATCTTATTAAGATCTATATCAGAAACATTTGTAATATATTTTATATCTTTAAAATTACTTTTAAGAGATCTCCATTAACCTTAAATCCTCTTGAGTTCTTAAGCAGATTCTCTGAAAATTATATATTTTAGTATAAATAAGAAGACTATTTCCTAAACTATTATATTATTTTAAAAAGGTATTAGAAAATAGTTTTATCTTAAATACAGTACTTTCATTAATATATTGATTTTAAATATATTAAATAGCTTTAAAATAACTTTGAAAATATCTCCTTAAATCTTAAATCCTTTTGATTTCTTAAGCAGATCCTCTGAAATTGATATATTTTAATAGAAATAAGAAGATTATTTCAAAAAATTTTAGATTTTAAATTGTATAAGGAAATATTTTAACCCTAACCTTATATTTATAAATAAATATATAGAAAATTTCTAATAGGTTTTGTTATTGTCATAAATCCTGTGATATTAAATTTAAAATCGTTATGCCTTTACAGAACATCATATTGGGCTACACCCGCAACCAGTACCTGCTGTTCCTGGTGCCCACGCTCTTCTGCTACAACTTCTTCATCGGTGCCGCGCTGGCCGTCATCGAGATCTTCCTGCACATGATGTCGCACCACAAGAACAGCCTCACCATGCAGAAGGGTCTGTACTTCCGGAGTCCCCTCCACGTGCTCTCCTCGCAATTCTGCGCCATTTGTCGCACGGAATGCGACAGCAAGTACAATCGCATCTTCGACATCCTCAACAAGCAGATGCGCAATGCACATCGCTCGGAGGCTCTCAAGGATATGGCCAAGGCCATTGGTTAAGCTAGGAGACATTATCTTCGACATGGTCAACGTATATTTTAACAACAGAAATGTTTTGTGTCACTCGATCAACAACAAAAATAAATGCACTCGTTTATCACTCAAGTTAAGGTATTGCAGCTTCTCTGGGCATCATTTAAGTTCCTCAAACTGGAATCTGTCCCATCGTCTTGACATTCGGGGACACTGTGAACTTGGCTCCCGTGCTGGCGATGATGTCGTCCACGGTGTAACCCTCGGCCACCTCGATTAGTGTGAGTCCCACGCCCTTTTCCACCTCGAAAACGGCCTTCTCGGAGATGATCAGATCGATCACACCCTTGCCCGTCAGCGGCAGGGAGCAGGTCTCCAGGATTTTCGGGGAACCATCGCGGGCATTGTGCTCCATTGTGATGATCACCTTGGTGCCGGGAGCAGCCACCAAATCCATGGCGCCACCCATGCCCTTAACTAGTTTTCCCTTTAATTAAAAGGAATTTTAATATGAAATCAAAGAAGAATCGGCGTGTGCCCAATGTAAAATGTACTTACAGGAATCATCCAGTTGGCCAGATCGCCGGTGGCCGATACCTCCATGGCGCCCAGAATGGTGATATCCACATGGCCACCGCGAATCATGGCGAAGCTGTCATCAGAGCCAAAGTAGGAGGCTCCGGGAACCACAGTAACGCTCTCCTTGCCGGCATTTATCAAATCCGGATCCACTTGGTCCTTGGTGGGGAAGGGTCCCAGACCCAGGATGCCGTTCTCCGACTGCAGCATCACGCTCATGCCCTGCGGGATGTAGTTGGAGGAGAGGACGGGGATGCCGATGCCCAAATTGGCGTACATCCCATCCTGGAACTCCAGGGCCACTCGGCGGGCTATCCGCTCACGCAGAGCCTGGGCGGGATTGGGAGGAGGAGCGGGTTTACTAGGATCCTTGGGCTCGGTGATCCTCAGACGCTCCACGCGCTTATTGTAGTCGCTGCCCTTGAAAATACGATTGATGTAGATGCCGGGCACGTGGATCTCATCGGGGGAAAGAGCTCCAATGGGCACTATTTCCTCCACCTCGGCCACGGTGATCTTGGCGGCCCGGCACATGGGTGCATTGAAGTTCCTGGCCGCCTTGTTGAACACCAGATTGCCTAGGGGATCGGCCTTTTGGGCCTTGACGAAGGCAAAATCCGCAAAGATGGACTCCTCCATCACGTAGTTCTGGCCGTTGAACTCCTTCACCGGCTTCTTTTCGCTGGAAATCTCCACTTTGCCATCCTTCGAGTATTTAATGGGTGCTCCGCCTTCCTGGACGAGAGTGGCGTAGCCAGTGGGCGTGTAGAAGGCGGGAATGCCGGCTCCTCCGGCGCGAATCTTCTCGGCCAGCGTTCCCTGGGGAGTCAGCTCCACGGCCAGTTCTCCTTCCAGATATTGACGCACCAGCTCCGTGTTCTCGCCCACATAGGAGCCAATCACCTTGGACACCTGCTTCTGCTTGATCAGGACGCCCAGACCAGTGTCGTCCACTCCTGGAAAAGATTAGGATTTTAAAAGGAAAATTTCGTAAAAGGAATTGAAAACTTAAAGTGTAAAGGTAACTCAAGAACTTTCCATTATTTTGGGATTTTAAGTACTTGATAGATCTTAAAAATTCAATGAGTGTACAATTTTCAGAAATGTTTTTCCATTATTTTAAAGGTGTTTAATTTGTTACATGATTGTATAAGAATCCAAATCGCTTTTATTTTTTTATCAATACTATTTCTTTAAAACTTTTTGATAAACTTTTCATCCACTTTTAAATCAAATGGAAATCTTTAATTTAAATATTTTTATACAACTTTTTAAGAAGAAACTTGTTATTCATACATTTTTAGAGATCCTTACTGTCTTATATCTTCAAAACTTTTTTTTAATCCCAGAAACCATTTGTTTTCCCAAATTTAGGTTGAAATACTATTTTAAAAACCTTTTATACGATATTATTTTCATTATTGGAAACCCTGGCGATATTCTTGAAAAATTTCCAAAAAAAACGTTATTGTTTTAAATAAAGATACATCTTTAGAGATCCTAACTATCTTATTTCTTCACAACTTTTTTTAATTCCAAAAACCAGTTGTAATCCCAGATTTAGATTCAAATACCATTTTAAAGATCTTTTATACGATCTTACCTCCATTATTGGAAACCCCGGTGATATTCTTGACTCCCTTCTGCTTCAAAGCGTTGATCATCTTCTCCGGAATGCCGCAGATGCCGAATCCTCCGAAGAGGATCTTGGACCCATCCTTAACATCGGCCACTGCATCTATGGCCGACTCGTAGATCTTTCCCTTTCGCTGTTTTCCCGACGTGGAGTAGCACGCAATAGCCTGAAAAATATCAGATTATTAGCATAAAAAGCGGTTTGTCCATGATAATATGATAGAGGTTCTCGCTCTCTGTATAAGTGAGCGTTCGTGAGGGGCTTGTTTGTGCAAAATCGTTACGTAAGTTTGCCTATTTTTAAGTCCAATGGACTGTTCCAGGGGGGTAAAATGGTAATCAGTGGGGTGATCTTTAAGTGGATTGCTCGCGTGGTTCCATCAAAATAATGCCTTATCTCAATTGGTAACAGAACGCCAAATCAAAACAATACATTTACACAAAATTACTCTATTTCTGGAACTATTTTTTATAACACCTGTTGATATGTTTTGGCTGGAGAACCTGTTTGTCACCTTTTGGATCACATGCTTAATTAATTATTTGCTCTGGCCAGAGATAGCCGAGATAAATAAGTCAATAAATCTTTTTCTGGAATATATTTCCAGTAAAATCTTTGGAAAATGTAGGCGTAGTCCAGGTTTACCTTGATAGAGGCCGAATATCGGGCGCTCAGATTGCCATTTCCCACTAGTCTGCAGAGCATTTTAACTTAAGTTTATTTAAAATATAAAAACGGATTAAAACTAAGGCAAACTGTTCGCGAAATCAACAGAAACCAGAATGAAAACAGCTGAGGAGCGCAACAGGTATCCGCGAGCTAGTTCATTTTTAAATATCGTTAAATTAGCATGGTCACACTGCATTTAGGGAGGCCATACTTTGGATTATCGATAGTGCCATCGCGTTTTGTCATCAGCTGATTGCAAAAACAACAACAATTCTGTTTATTTCGCAGAAAACAATAGAATCACCCACACACACACATTCGCATCGAATATCAACAAAAACAAAATTGCTAAAATTATTAAAAATAATAATAAACAAAATAGGATAGCAAAACAAGCCGTGAAAACAAAATGTCGTGCTAAAATAACTTATTGGCTGCCCCACGAAATTGGCAATTTTCTTCGGTGAGTTTTTGTACGGTTAATAAATTATACATTTTACACTTGGTAAATCCCAAATACTAGATGCGGCGAATAGGCGATGAATAATGAAAATCGGTGCTGCGCAGTTGATAAATAGAAGTTGGTTGGAAGTCGGTTCAAGTGTTAAATACTCTATATGTAAGGTAATTGCATTTTCCGCTACTGATAAGATGCCAAAGAAGATGGTCTCCTCCTCCTGATTTATATAGTTTCGAGCTTATCTCGGATCCACTGGCCGTTACAGACACGCTCCATCGCCAGCTGTTTACTCGGATGGAGCTCCACTGGACAGCCGAACCCACCGAACCACTTAACCCATCCCATCGTAACCCCCTCCACCATCATTTTACCGGCTTGGCAACCCACCGAATGCAATGCCACCGATCCGATCCGAACCGATCCGCTATAAATAGCAATCTTAATAGTTTTCCCGCAACAACAACCAAAGTTTCCACTCCACTCTGCACCGAATTATCAACATCACCGGCCGACTGCCTCTGGGCAAATAAGTAATCATCGTGGCCTCTTCCTCTTCCTCTGCCTCCCACTCCCCACCCCACTCCACCTCCTCATTCTCCTCCTCCTGATCACTCCACGTAATCTCACGCACAAAAGAGTTGCAGTCAGGCCTCCATAAGAGGAACTTACATATATATTACTATCCAAGTTTTGGTCTTAACCGAAAGTCTGGTCTTAAATATTCAGAGGTTCCATCTTTTAAGCATGCTATCATATCATATTTAAAACTTAATATAGAATATAATATTTCTAATCTTTTTCGGGCCTTTATATTCTTAAACTCTTATTGAAATTTTAAACTGTACCTTGTATTTATTTATTATCATAAAATAATATTATAGCAACTAATTATTTTATTTTCTTACTCCCATGTTTTAAATATTATTTTTATAATTTACAATTAAATTTTAGCAAAATAATAATTTACCATAATAATTTGTATTCCTGATGATTACGTACATATATCCAAATTTATATTTATTTTCAATCTGTATTTATTTATTATTATTTTTATAATTTACAATTAAAATAATAATTTACCATAATAATTTGTATTCCTGATGATACGTATATCCCAATTTATATAGGTATATCTTCAATCTGTATTTATTTATTATTATTTTTATAATTTACAATTAAATTATTTAAATATTATTTTTATAATTAACAATTAAATTATTTCAATAATATTTTTATAATTTACAATTAAATTTTAACAAATTTAGAAATCAAAATTTTTTGAATTCTCCTCCACATGAAACTATTTGTAAGAAAGACAACCTGTTCAATTACAAAAGTACCACTGTATTTACTGACTTTGGATTGTAATTACAGCTGGCGTTCTCCTTCGATCGCCGCGTTCAGTTTGGTCTCATCGCTCCAAGCGTCCACAGCGTTACGTTGCCCGATGCCCGAGGATTTGCTGGCCAGCCGGAGATCAGACTCTTCGACGTGCCCGCTGGGAGGCGACTGTGACTGTGATTATCTGTGATTCTCCATGGCCGGAATGGAGGTGAAGAAGGCGGAGAAGGAGCAGCAGCTGCTACTGGATACCCTGATCGGACTGTGGAGCCAATATCTCCAGGCCTCGGAGCTCGAAGATGCGAGTGTCAAGGTTTGATATTCGCCAGGTCTTATCGCTGTTTGCACTTCTCATTTGCCCATTCACAGGACCACTGGCTCTGGCTGTTGCTATATAACTTTCAGTTTCTGGACGATAAGACCTTGGAAGATGCCTGGCTAAATAGGTAAAGTTGTCTAAAAATAATTATGAAATATTATTATTAAATGATCTATCTTTTCTAGCCACTTCAACCTGATGCCCGAGGAGCTTTGCTCCTATTTGTTGGAACAGGTCTACCAAATCATCAGCGAGGCAAAGAGATCTCAAAACAGCAGTTTGGAGGAGGAACCGGAGCAGCAGGACAAGTGCATCAAGCAGCTGCGCAAGCAGCACAATCTAGCCCAGGTTTGGTCTAGTGAATACCCAGTATTTCCAGTTTGGTATACCAAGTTTATTCCTATTCCCACAGCTAATACTCAGCACTCCCAGTGATTGCAACAAGATTCTTGCCCTGCGAACATTTCTCACCGATAAGTTGGGCCATCACTTGTTGGCCTTTCTGCTGCGCGTGGATATCAAGGCAAGTTGAAGAAGATTTATTTGAGTACCTAATATGGGTTCGATTAATGTAGAAAGTTATCATATACCCATTACTCATAGTAGAAGAAGGAGTTTCCAATCCTTAAGAAGATCATATAGTAGATCCTATCTTAGGGGCTGTCCATATATTACGTAATCACCTAGGGGGGAGGGGGTCATTGAAATGATTATGTTTGATTACATGGGGAGGGGGGGTCTTGCACAATGATTACGTAATCATTTTATATACATTTTTAGATTTAAAGAATTTATTTAAAAACTTTTTTCCTTTAATTATATCTATAAACTTAGATAGGAAAGCAGAAAAAAAATTTTTAGTGGCTGGACGGCGAAAAAGAGAATGTTCAATCACACGAAGGACGCGAAGACCTGGAATGGCTTGACGAAGATAATTTTAGCGTAGACGAACCGAATGTGTCATACCAAACTTCATTTATAAACAATATTAAAGATTGGGTTGCATCTCCGTTTGAATCCACAGATTAAAACAAAAAAAAATTTATTCTTGGGATTACGTAATCACTATGGGGGGGGGTGTTTATTGAAAGATTATTTTTGATCACCAGGGGGGGGAGGGGGTCAAAAATCACCAAAAACGTGATTACGTAATATATGGACAGCCCCTTATATAATCTTGATCGGAATCACTTGAAAACTCTAAAAGCTAAAAAGTTGGGATTAAGGATGCACATTTCCCACTGATACAACTAGTAAATGAATAAACTCACATTTATATAATCGATCAAAAGGTATAATCACTGTAAATTTAAAAAAATTTAAATAATCCTCATAAGATAACAGGATCTTATGTACAAATTTGCTAAACCACATTCCATCATATTTGCATCACAAGATAAGAGCCAAGAATAAGAATATTTAGCGAGCTGAAGCACAGATTTTCTGACCCCGATCCTTTTTTGGGTCGATCGTCTTTGGGAATTCTGCATGGACAACCAATAGATTCATTCTCACGACACCTTATACATAAATACTTTTCAGTGTAGCGATTGGGAAGAATGATTTGACAACCGACTTCGGGTGACCAAACGCATATATATTCATAGGATCCATCTTTAGCTGTTAGAAAAGATTTGAATAAAAACAATAGTAAATAAAAACAGGAATAAATCTGAGTACCATCAATAGTCATGTTGGTGGGAATGCAAACGCCAAAGTCACTGGTTAGCTTAGGTATTCCACGATCCCCATCCGAAAAATCTGTCACCTCGACATGATCTGCATATGGGAACATATCTCTGGTTACAGCAATATATCCGCTGCGATTATCAATTATGCACTTCTCCTTGTTAATAATACTGCAGTCTCCGCACTTGTGAAGCTCCTCTTTAAATGTGGCACACATGGTAAAAAGTCCTGAAGCTAAAATTATAAAACCAAATGTGATGTTAATATACATTTTTTGAAGAAATCTTTGAGTGACAGAATCACTGAGATACGATTAATTCAAGGAGTGCTGTGTTTCAAAAATTTTTTCATGTGAAAACATGCCCATGAAATAACTGAGATCTCGGAAATTTAAAAGCTAAAAGTTACTTACATTTTCGACTGATAATTATAATAAATATAATTAAATATTATAATTATTGTAATTTTAAATAAATGATTCTGATATGATAACGGGGTCCATTACATTTGCATCACCATATAAGTGCCAAAAATAAGAATGTTCAGCGATCTGAAACTGAGTTTTTCTGACCCATTTCCTTTGAGTCTACATGGACAACCAATTTTTTTGACACGACAATCATAACAGTGAGTGGAGTGATTCCTGTGATTAATAATTTGACAACCAAGATTGCGCGACCAAACGCATACATGATGAAAGTCTTCAACATTAGCTGTTAGGAAAAATGAATTGATTAAATCAATAGGTATTACCGGGCATTCGCACTTTGAGTACCATCAAAATTCATGCTCTGTGGAACGCATACGCCAAAGTCATTGGTTAATTCAGGCTCTGCTTGATAATATTCTTGACCAAGCCCAATTTTTTGATCCCGAGTCAAGCCATGTTCTTTGTACATTTCATGTGTTACAGCAATATATCCTGGTTCATCATCAATTAAGCATTTTTTCTTTGCTTTCGAGCAGTCTGCACAACGGAAATTTTTCTTTTCAATCGTGGCACATATGCCAAAAAGTCCTGATGCGATAATTATTAAACCAAGGATGAAGTTAGTGCACATGTTTCAAAGAATAAAATTTAGATGTCAATATCAATGAGATAAATATTGGATACTATTTCAAGGTGTGCTGTGTTTCCAAAACTCTCGCATTCATGCCAGAAAAATCCTTCCCAAAAGTAAACTGAGATCTCGGAAGCTATAGAAGCTAGAATGTTGTGATTAAGGATACACATTTCCCACTGATACAAACCGTAAACCAATAAACGCACATATATATTTTCGGTTCGTTATTTATTTAACATTAAAATTACTTTCAATTTAAAAAAATAAATAAATAATATTTATTTAAAATAAATAAATAATATTTTTAAAATAAATAAACAATATTTATTTATAATTTTAAATGCTTTAAATTTTGAATAAATAATTCTCATGGGGTCCATTAAATTTGCATCACAAGATAAGTGCCAAGAATAAGAATACTCAGCGATCTGAAGCATAGTCTTTCTGACCCCGATTTAGTGGTTTTAGGTTGTTTGGTACCGGTACTGGTAGTCTTGCATGGACAACCGTAAGTTTTATCTACTTGACAAGTAAAACAGGAGACTTCAGTCGATTCCTTTGGAACAATAATTTGACAACCAAGTTTGCGCGACCAAACGCATATGCCATCAAAGGGGCCATCTTTAGCTGTAAGGAAAAAGGATTTGATTAAATCAATAGGTATTACTCCCACTCCGCGTACCATCAATAGTCAAGTTCTTGGGAGCGCATACGCCAAAATCATCGGTAAAGTCAGGAGTTCCTTTTAAATACTCATCACCAAGCTCCGCTGCTTGGGCAAAGGCAACAGCCTCCAATGACTCATCGCCTTCCATACCGGTATATAGAACAACATATCCTGGTTCACTATCAATTTGGCATTTATCCCTAACCTTACGGCAGTCTCCACACTTGTTAAGTTTATTTTTAACCGGTTCGCTCATGGTAAAAAGTCCTGAAGTGAGAATTATTAAACCAAGAATGAAGTAAGTGCACATTTTTCAAAGAAAAACTTTAAATGTCAGTATCAATGAGGAAAATATTGGGAACTATTTCAAGGTGTGCTGTATTTCGAAAATTCTTGTATTCACGCTAACAAAATCCTTCTCAAAATAAAACCATTTCATTTAAAAACTTGGACCGAAAAAAATATAAAATAATATTTGTTTGAAGTCCTTTTCTATAAATGAGGAATAATAAAAATTATATTATCCAAAGAATATTGACTGTAAAACCCTATTTCATAATTATCAAAATTTAAAAACTTTACACACCCAGATTTATTTTAAAAATTTCTTGAAATTTAGGTACATTAAAAAATAAATGATATCACTATTTCCAATATTTTTTTACATACTTAACTAAAATTGTATTTCTAATTTCAATTTCTAAAAAGAATACTTAGATTTTCCTACTTATCTGACTTCTTATTTTCCATAACTCTTTTATGGGTTATATTTACATAGCCAGTCTTTTTATAAATTTCTTGCAAAGTACTTCTAAAAAATAAATGAGATCAAAATTTCCAATACAAATTTCCAGTACAGTAACTGAGATTGTATTTTAATTTTTAAAAATAATATTTAGATTTTCCTACTAATTTTCCATAACCTTATCCCAAAAAATTGAGCCACCTAAAACATATTATTTAATTTAATTAAATGAATTACCTTTTCCTCTATCTTCGCAGCACATTGCTTCCCAGAAGAGCCTCTGCCAGCTGTGCATCAACCTGTTCCCCAACTGCAAGTGGAGCCCGTCCAACGAGCCCCTGGCTGCCCTGACCAGCATTTCCCAGTTCATCGGCAGTTTCTACCTCAATTCGCAGAGCAAGAAGCTGCGGCGTCAGCTGCCAAAGAGTCAATTACCCAATCGCATATCATCCAAGGCAATCGCATCGAGATTCGAGGAGTTCCAGGGGACAAAGAGGAGCAGCGATGAGCTGGCCCTGCTGCTCATCCAGCTGCTCACCAGGTGCGTGGATGCCGAGCAGGAATCCCAGTTGAGTGTGACGGTTCACAACTTTGCCCTGGGACACTTGTGCGCCAGCTTGGAGGAGCAGGATGAATCCTCATCCAGTGACAACGATGAGATCATCAAGTTCGAGCTCCTTCAGCTGATAGCCCGCTGTGTGAATAACTTCTACATGCTGGAGCAACAGCAGCCGAATGTCCATGATTTCAACAGCAACTTTGGTCAGCTCCTCTACGCTTTGACCGCCAATCGCAGGAGTCCTCTGCTGGCCCATGGAGTGCTGTACATCATGTTTGGAACCCTCCACAATCTGGTGGATAATGGGGTAAGGGAACTGAATCAAATTGATGTGCGGAACTTTGATGCCTGCTTTGAGGTTCTCCACGAGGCCTCGAAATCCACGAACTTCTCCACCGCCATTTTCCTGCACATCTACAAGATGCTCCTGCGACTCACCGATAATCTCTCGCGGCAGGAACAGCATTTGCAAAGTCTCATGGAGAGCAGTGCATCCACTGCGTTGCCGAAGCATCAGCAGCTGCAACATCCGCGACACAAAAGACAGCGGAGCAGTCAACTTCACTGCTCGGGATCGAGTTCTTTGAGCTGCTATTTCCAGGGAAAACTCTACCATCTGCTGCCCAGTTTGGAGGCGGAGCTCCAGGAGCACAGCGTGAGGAGCTTACTCCGAACTGGAAGCTGTTGCTGCCACTACAATGCCAGGAACTACTCAACTTGCCTGCAATTAGCTACCCAACTATCGAGTGGCTATCAAAAGTGCGCCTACAAGTTTCTGCATTATAATGTTTTACATACCATCTTTGTAAAGAGGAATCCACAGGGTTGTCCAGGCTGCGAGGATAAGCTAAAGTCGGCTGTATTCCACATGGATCTGCTGAATATCTATAGGGAAAACTATAAACCCTTGCTGAAAACACCCGCCATGTTGCTGTTCCTTAAGCACTTGAAACATATCGCCTATTTGCTACCCTACGATTTGGCTTCTGGTATTCTAGCAGAGGTAGCCTTGCCCATTTTTAGGCAGTATAAAGAATTAATAGAAACTAAGGATAACCTCAGGAGTAATAGCAAGGTGACTCCTTTACAGCTGCCAAGCAAATTGGAGAACTACCGAGCTCTTCACGAATGTCTGAGCATATTTGTGATGTACTTGAGTGATATCCGCCTGGTAAAAGCCTTCTACAACGAGGAGAACATACGTTATATGCAGGATTTACTCAGCATACCCGAACTCCAGCGGGGAGTATGTGATCTTATTAAGGTTGGAATAGATAACATAGCCTTTCTGGGCGAGAATAGCCAGGAGCAGATTACTTTAAGCCGACGACTCATCCAATTACAACTCAATAGCAGCGATCGGGCATCCCAGCTCTTTCAGGCCCTCCTCCACAAATGTTCCAAGAACTCACGCAGCAAATTCTGGCTGGATGAGACCACTAATCCTGTGAAGCTCGAGGGACACAAGCCAGCGGATATACTCTACATCACAGCCCTGCAATGGACCCTCAACTTTGAGCTGCTCAAAACAAGTCAGTTGTTCTACAATGAATTTGCCAAAATCTACTCGATACCCGTGGAAATGCTGGACAACGAGGATGACGATGAGGTGGAGTCGCCAATGGGTGAGGGGATTCCAGAGGAGAAGAAGCTGCGGCATGGGGACAAGAACATAGTTGACATCTTGAAGCTGAACTACAATGCTCTGGGTTGTTTCCTCATGCTACCCAAGACCACAATGGGAGCAACCACAACCACACCTACAACACCTGGAATTTGCGGCTCAAGTTCATTGGAAACTTTGGTATCCCAGCTGCCAATCGGTGATCCAATCGCTGGTGGATCAGTCTCGGTCACAACGGCCGGCAGTTCGGACTACGCGGATTCTCATATGGATTACGCCTCGGTGATTGATAACTACGATAGCTACACACCTTCATTCCTCCAGCAACTCCAGTTTAGTGAACCAGATGAGAGCATAGTGCTCTTCGACATTCGTGGAAATGATTGTCCTGCTCCTGGCACCTCCCTAATCCTTTCAAGCGAAGAGGAAGTGGCAGCTGCCAATGGCATAATCAACAAACTATTCAACATTGTGGGCTCCCTTTTTGGAGGCGGAAGTCCCGGAGGCGGCGGCGGAGGTGTTGACACTCCCACAAGTGCTAATATTGATGCGGATTTGTTCTGCCTCTACGAACCCAACGGCGATTGCAAGAAACTCTTGCTCAAACTCTTCGAGGCGACCATGGCCATCTGCATCAAGGGTTTCCAAAACGAAGAAGGTAAGTGTCAGAGATTGTTCAGTTGAGTGGCTTTTATGAAAGCGAATGGGGTATATTAATAATGGGAATTGATGTGTATGATTTTGGTTTGAGCAAAGAATATTCTTGAAAACCAACTAAATATACGATATTTGTAATGAGTAATTATTTATTCAAATATATATATTTATCCTGTTTTAATATTATGAGAAATGATTTTTTAAATCATAACTATATTATTTTAATTGTCAATAAATACTATTTATTTTCTATTAACACGAACACCTTTTAGGAAACAAATATAAAATCATTAAACATTTTCATAAGAAATAATATGATTTAGATATATTTTATTTTTATTAGAGGGGTTTTTAACTTCATTCTCTAAACCTTAGTAAATTAATTTTTCTATTTCAATTAATTTTTCAAAAACCTTTAAAAAGTCCATTATGAAATCATTTTTCATTCATAGGAAATAATATTATATTTCATAATTTAAAAAAAAAATCATAGATAGTTTTCTTTTTAATAGGAGGGTTATTTTCTTCATTCTTAAAATCTTAATTTGGTTAATTAATTTTTCTAATTTTCTAATTTTTCATTAAACATTTTCATAAGATAATATCATTTACATAATTTTCTTTTTAATAGAGTGGTTCTTTTCTTCATTCTTAAAACCTTAATTTATTTAACTAAAACATTTGAATAGATTATATTAAAGAAGGGTATAGAAAGGGTCATAATGACCCATCTGGTGGGTTCCTCTGCATTCCGTTTTTAATGCGTTGCCAATAGGCAATAGTCAATAGACAACAAACAACAGTCGACCACTGAACACTGGGCTCTCAAAGAGGAAGCCCTAGAAGTGGGACAAGAACAAGGCACCCACATTCACCTCCAATCCAGCGCTAGATTCTATATTCTACATGCTAGATTCTAGACTCTGGCTAATAACGGGGCGTTGTGGTTGTGATTGTGGCGAGCGGACTAGGAGAGTTAATTATAAGCCAGCTAGGCAGACAGTTAGTGAGTATAATACGCGGCATTTACAAGGCATTCTGCCTGCTGCCTGGCGGGATTGAATTTCTGGATACACAAGTTACAACATCGCAGATACAGATACAGAAAACAGATAGAGATAGAAAAAACACAGAGATAGAGAAACGAGATACATTCCAGTCTAGAAAAGACGACACTTTTGCTTTGGCGCTCGTCCAGCGCTGACGGCTTGCTCCAGTTTTACGGAAGATATAGCAGGGGTTATCAGTCAGTCATCTTCCCTCTAATCTTGCTAATCTCCGGCTTATCTACCTTTCTTCACAGTGGAGAAGATGCAGAAGCATCTGCGCAAGCTGCGTGCGATTATTCTGAACCATGCCACGGATAATTGGTCGGATCATGGGGAACAGCATGCCAGGGATAATGCGGTGATTCAGACCCTGCAAACCTTGCTAAAGATTGCAGAGTTATCCAGTGGCAGCCATCAGGAACCGGCGGGCGTGGTCAGCAGTCCATCGGGGGATTCCCAGCAGCCAAGACCACGTGCTAGATCTTTTAACAGCGGCAGCGTGGAGCTCCCCCGATTGCAGCCCGTCAAGTTGCCCGCAAAGAACTCTTTAGCTACTCCTCCCACTCCCAGGAGAAGACCCAATTCCAGTGAGGTAAATGGAGGAGTGGATGCGGATTACTTCTCCACCCGCGCCTCCTTGAGCTGTGCCGCCGACAGCGAACTGGAGCTCAGCGAGAACGAGCACGAGTTTTACCTGACCGCCGACGAGGGTTACGAGGCGGATGGCGAGATTGCGGATCTCAGCGAATCCGAGTGTGAGCTGAATGGTGGTGTCATGGCAGCCAATGAATCCTGGACTCCGTTTCAACCATCCTCAAGATATAGAACACATATCATGCACCAAGGTCTCAGCCAGTTGGTGGTCCAAATGCTGGCGGAATTGTCGCTGCTCTGCATTAAGCAGCCAAATGGTTGGACCGAGAGTCTAACCCAATTGGCCAATCGGCTGTTTGTCATCCGGGATTATCTGGGCGGACCTCTGTGCCTGCTCAAGGGATTTGCGCCGATCCTAAGCTGCAGCGATCCGAGATTGAGGGGTGAGTTGAGAAAGTTTTACACAAAAAAAGAAAAATGAGTCAAGATCGATTTAATCTAAAGTTCTTAAAATCAAGGCGAAGTGTTCTCTAATCAAGAAGAAATTATCATCTGTATTTGAAGATATCTTCATGTACTATCACCTAGTCAAGAAAAAACCCATTAATCTCTATTAAAAGATCGCTATGTGCTGAAAAAAATAATTGAGAGAAATTTCGCCTTGATTTCAAGAAATAATTTGCGATTTAAGAACAATTGGATGAAAATAATAATTGAGAGAAATTTCTTCTTGATTTCAAGAAAGAATGCTCTATTTAAGAACAATTGATTGAAAATAATAATTGAGAGAAATTTCGTCTTGATTTCGAGAAAGAATTCTCAAAAGCTGTATTAATAATATTCATAACCTAATGATGATCTCTTCCAGAACTCCAACAATCCATCCTGGAGTTGGTTACCCACCTTAACACACCAGAGGTCCTGCAATGCTACTACTCCATCTTGGCCTCCAGACAGCCTCCCGTGGACCTGCTAATGCGCCACATGCACCACATCTGCTCGGGTTCCCTTCGCAAGGCTCAGCCCTGCATGGAGCTGGACTTTCCCATTACCACGGATGGCAAGATAGTGATCACCTCGGAGCCGCTGGTCAGTGAGCAGATCGAAAGGGTGCGACTGCATCACCAGCAGTGCCAGACGAGTACGCTCTTCACCCGGGCTGCCTGCATTTTTCCGGTGACCCAAACGCGTCTCTGGCAGCCAGATGGATTGACCTTGTCTCTCTGGTTGGAGCTCAGGGGTCAGCAGATGCATCGCAGCTCCATGCAGTTCAACGATGATGAGACGCGCTATTCAGGAGAGGATCTAACTGTAGGTTATACACTAAACCACTAAGATATCTTTAACTTAATTCCTTTCTTCTCTAGAAACTCCACCTGCTCTCTTTGGGAACCAACCAAGCCATGATCTCCATTTACATCAGTCACAACATGCAGCTCATCTTCGAGTTGGTCAAACCCAATGAGCAACTGGCTCCGTTGCGAGTGGAGGAGCACATGGAGGCCAACGCAGATACGGCTTCGGTGATTTCGGCCAACACACAGGCTGCTGCCAATGGAGGAACCATTCGACAGGCCCTCAAACAGACCAAGCTGGCACTACTCAACAGCTTCGGGCAGATGCACTTGCTCAATGGCCACCAAACGTCGCCGGATTCCTCAGGTGGTTACTACGAAGGATCCGCCGTGCAGCTGCAGCATTTGCGGCTACCCCGGCACAAGTGGATGCACTTGGTCTTTGGACTGCAGCAGCAAGGAGACCACGTAGAGATTAGCATTTATCTGGATGGCCTGGAGCAGCACACCATGCGTTTGCCCTTCCACAATCTTCGCCAGCTTACCAGAGTTCATAGCTTCCAGTTGCTTGCTTTGGGCGAAGGACAACCTACTAGGAGTCCTGGAGGTAGCAGCTCCTCCTCGAGATCCACTCTAGATGGCTCTGCTCCTCGATATGCCCTCTCGAATGTGATTCTCTTCCGGCGTCGTCTGGTGGATCCCCAGCTGATGATGAATCTCACGGCCATGGGACCGGATTTCACCGAGTTTACCCAGTGCCAGGTGGCCAACTGGAAGCCCAATTATGGTTTTGTTAGCCTGTGCAAGCTGGCATCCTCGAATTTCGGCAACCATTTGGACTGCATGCGGCAATTAAGACAGGCTAGAGTCCTGGTCTACACGGCACAGCAGCCGGATCTGGTGATGAGCTACGATGCCAGCCAGGAACTGGACATGGCCTGCTATGGACAGCCATTTGGGCATATGTTGTATGGAGAATTGCAGCAGCATCAACCGCAGACCCTGCAATCCGCCACTTGCCTGAGCGGAGGACTCTCCACGCTGCTTTATCTCTTTGCCAGGGTGGGTTTTATGAATTATTTTGAATTTTTTGTTTTATATGATTGAATTAATTAGAATTTTGAGTTTAATAGAATTGAATGAATTTGAATTTTGAGTTTAATAGAATTGAATGAATGAATGGCATGAATTCCAAAATAATTCAAACGACAATTTCTTTTGAAGAAGGCCGCTAATTTTGTGATTAAATCTGCCTGCATTTTATTTACTAAGCAGTTAACATTGATTTGTAAAAAATTTTTCACTTTTTGTTCTTAAAAGATTTTTTTTTTTAACTCATATAATTTTACATTGATCAGCCAAATTAATGGCTATAAAGTTCTCAAAAAAAAGCAAAAAAAAAAACTGGCAAATTCAAAAAATTTATAAAAATGTTTCATTCATTCGTTCAATTCGAAACAGATTAGAAAACATTCAATTTATTTCACATAGAATGGCATACTATTATAAAACAAAAATTGAATGATTCAGGCAGGGCTCTAGTGGGTTTACCTTAAATTCTCTTGAGTATTCTTTTTCTAATCTCTTTTTCATTATAGATTGTAGAACTCACTGGGAATGCCAATACCCAGGCTTTATCCCTGGATCTCCTCCTCCAAGTGGCCCATTCGGATGCCCAGCTGTACACGGAATTCCAGCGACAGGATTATTTGGCCCTGATAGGCTATGTGATTAAATCGGAAAAGTGCTGCAAGGATGTCCAGCTACTCCGGAGCATTGTGAACAATGCCTGCTCCCAGCCGTTGATTAGCAGGAAGGGGGATTCCCTGAATGTGAATGATAACACGATGGCCACCCTCGTCTATCCCCATCTCCTCTTAGCCGTTCTGCAACGCTACTCCGATTGGCATCGTTCCGGAGCAACCCACTCGGATGTGCTGGACATGCTCTTCCGCTGCATCCTCGCGCTCACCCGGGACAAGCATCCGCAGAGGGATTTCAACATGGAACAGCTGCAGAAATCCGGTTTACTGGGAGCCCTACTCAATCTCTGCAAGGTCTATGTGATCGAATCACCCAGTCCGGTGCAGATTTCACCCTATGCCGCCGAGTGCTTCGTCCAGATACTCGCAGTCTTTGCGGGATCCCCTCCCGATTCCTCGATGCTGGACGAGATCATGAAGCTTCTCCTGCTGCTCCACAAGCCCAGCGACTGTTATGTGACCCACGATCGGTTGCACTTCTACTTTCTCCTCACCGCTCAGCAACCGGCGAAGGAGAGATCCCTGGTGGCAGCGAATCTCAGTAGGGTGACCACTTCGCTGCGCAGGCAATTACATCCTGCTCAGAATCCCCAGCAGGAATTGGATCCCGAGAGGGCGGAGCGAATCAAGAAATTGAGAAGACTTCATGCCAGCTCTTCTGGCTATCGAAAGGCAGTCAACGAATTCGAGGAGCAACTGGAGCAGATGGCCGACTGCTCGAATCTCAACAAGACCGCTTTGAGGTTGCTCAGTCCCGTGGAGGCCACTCGTTGGCGCCTGAAGTTCAAGCGGCGTCATCCTAGCAGTCCAAAGAGGAGTAGTCCCTTGAAAATTGCCCGCAGGCGCATCCATCCGCACTTGCATCTGGGAAAGATCTGGCAGCCTTCGGGTCATAGCACTCCCAGTTCGGGTCAATCATCGCTGCCGAACAGGAAGACGGACTTTTACGATCAGCAGGGAATCATTCGACTGCAGCAACGTTTGCTCATCCTCCTCAAGGACTTCCTTTGCCTCCTTCCCGACTCCTCGGTGGATGTGGTCACGCGACACTATGTTAAGCTGGAACTCCTCCTGGTTCTGGCCAACCAACGCAGCTGCGCCGTTCGCCAGGCCATCATCCAGCTGCTCGATGTGCTCACCAAGCGTCTGGCCAGTGGTGAACTTAATGTTGCTACCAAGTTGATGTATCCTTTGCACCTGGCCAACCAGTTGACCATCCATGCGTGTGATACGGGCATGTTTGAGGCCTGCCTGGCTTGGATTAGTGGCATCCATGGCAGTCTGATGGATGTCTTGGGTTCAGAGGCTCCTCTGAGGATTCGCCAGCGCTTTGGTCTGCAATCTTTGCTGGCCATTGCCGAGGGAGCAGAGCCCCAGAGGGTCTTTAAGGCTCTATTACGTCTGTATCTTCAGGTGAAAAGATAAATATATTATTCTATATATTTTTGTAATATTTATATAATCTTTTCCAACCAGAATCCCGATGATCAGACCTCTTTGATTGAGGCGGGACTGCTGCAGTGCTCGGTGAAGGCGCTCTACAAGATCTACTCCTTGCGCCTGGGTCAATCCAATGCGGATGAGTCCATTCTGGAACTGCTGGCGAATATTGGAGAGAGGGCTCTACGTTCAGTGGGGCAGATAAATGTGGGTAGTTGAGGAATTAATTAAAAGGGAATTTATTTTAATCTATGTACCTCCTTTTCCAGCTCGTTTGGGACATCCTCAACCTGCTATCCTTCTACCAGGACAAGCAACCCCAGCTAATTATGCGCAGCTTCCGCACCGCCCAAGCTCAACTCCAGCTGGAGTGGCTGACCAAGTTCTTTGAGCCCAATAGTTTCCGCATTGCAGTGACCAATGATTCCCCACTCAGTCCCACGGAACTTCGCACGCGGATGGAGCTGCTCATCGATCGCTGCACCCAGTTCTTCACCGTGCAAGTGGGTCAGACCAACGGAGCCACCTATGTGGCCAGTTCCCAGGAGCTGGCTCTCTTCCAGCTGCTGGTCTCCTATGGAATCTCCAGCAATCAGCGATGCAACAACTTTATCGCCTGGGGATTACAACCTTCGAGGCCAAGGGATCTGCGTTCCTATATTGTGGATGCCTTGTGGCGATCTCAACAGGATGAATTCCAAAGGGCCATCATCTGCGATGCCAAGATGATCAAGGCGTTACTATGGTTGTCTTTGCTAGAGGATATGGTGGAGCCCATTGAGAATCTCCAGCGACTTTGTGAGGCTCTGGGCATCAAGGAGAATGACTCCTCTTGGAATCTGGTTCATGAGCTCGATCGCCTCGATCAGAATCGAAATAATATGGCAGCCAAACAGAAGACTCTGCTGGAGAAGACTGTCTACCGTTTTGAACCTCTAGTGCAGCATTGCGTGGAGTCCTCCATGGTGACCACGAGGAAGGTGGCGGAACTGCAGGTTAGTAAGGAATACTGGAGATTTATGATAATTCAATTCTAGGTGAAACAATATGAGTGTTTTTCTAAATCATTTAGATTTTTTATGAATTTTTTAAATTTGACAGAATTTTGTTGTTTCTTTCATTTCTTTCGAGAACAAAAAGAGGACAATTTTTAACAAATCAATATTAACTGCATAGTAAATAAAATTCAGGCAGATTTAAACACAAAATTATGGCCCTTTCTTCTTAAAAAAAAAAGGGTTTGGATTATTTCAGAATTCATTCGTTAGATTAAACTCAAAAGACAAATTCATTCAATTCTATTAAATTTAAAATTATAACTAATTCATTCATATAAAACAAAAAAATTGGAAATAATTCAGTGAATCCATTCATGCAGGGCTCTATTATGGATATGGTCCTTTAATAGTTGTTCTTCTTTTAAAGAATTCGCGCCTATTGTTCTAAAGAATTCGCGGTCTCATATTGTTAAAGAGTTAATCTATGGTCTTAGGTGGATAAGACTTACAATTGTGATATCTTGATCTATATTGGTTCCTTTTGTTCGGACAAAAATTTTGATTAATACAAAAACACGAGTCCTAATAGGTACTAATATTACCCTTTTTAATACCCCCCAGAATGCCGAACGCAAGGCTCTGATGTGCCACATGAAGGTGTACGATGATACCTATACCTACACCAAGTGGCTGGAGATCATACGTCGCATGACCCACGAAGGAGCTCCCTGGCACTCGGCGGAAAGAGCTGAATGGTAAGGGAACCTAAAGGAATCTCTTAAAGACCCTAGCTAACCCATAACCTTTTTAATAGCTCCTGGGAACTGGACGACACCGAAGGACCCTCCCGAGTTCACACTCGTCTACGTCGCTGCCATTTAGACATTGATCGCCGCTTCTTTATGAACGAATATAGACCAGGACAGGGACAACGCGAGGATCTGGAGCCCTATGTGCGACCTCTCGACTACCTGATAGCCAGCTACGATCAGCAGTTGAACATATCGCTAAACTCCCAAATCCTCTACAACTTTGCGGCCAAATTCCTGCCCGTGGATGGGGAAATCGAGGGCGAGATCATCATCACCGATCACAAACTCTATTTCCTGGCCACCTACCGCTGTCGTTACTTCAACGTGAACTGTGATATCGCCAACATAACCGAGATCTGGCTGAAGCGCTACCAGCACCAGGAGACGGCCTTCGAGATTCTGCTGGACACGAACAAGTCGCTGTTCTTCTCGCTGCCAAATGCCGACGACTGGAAGATCATGCGCGAGGTATTCTGTGATAAAATCGTGGCCACGCCGGATCAGGCCAAGGTCCTGGCCATCACGCAGCAGTGGCGCGAGGGTCTCCTGACCAACTGGGAGTACCTGATGACCCTGAATCAAATAGCCGGAAGGACGTACAACGATCTCATGCAGTATCCAGTGTTTCCCTGGGTGCTGGCCAACTACAACTCAGAGATTTTGGATCTCCGGGAGGAGCAAAACTTCAGGCGACTATGCAAACCCATTGCCGTGCAGCTGGAGGAGAACGAGAAGCACTACATTAGTAACTATACGGTAATAGATTATCACTCAGAAAAAAAACCGATATGAAATAGGGTTATTTCTACCTCATTTCATATCAATAATATATGACTAATGTCAAATTTAAGATTCAAACATATCAACATGACATTTTATCATATCATAAAAAACACCAAAATAATCTTTATTTATATCAAAATGATATGAATAACTTAATCTTAAAAAAATATCAAATTGACCATTAACATTTGTTTTTCTAAACCTTTGAAAACCTTCTTACATTTTCTTATCCTTTGCAGTACATTGATAGTACGAACACCACGATGGGCTCTTTGATCTTGAAACCATATCACTATAGCTCCCATTACTCGAACTCCGGCACAGTACTCCACTTCCTGGTGAGGGTTCCTCCGTTTACCAGCTACTTTCTGCGCTACCAGGACAACGATTTCGATCTACCGGATCGCACATTCCATGCCTTGAACACCACCTGGTTGCTGGCCAGTCGGGATAGTCCCACGGATGTCAAGGAGCTGATACCCGAGTTCTTCTGCCTGCCGGAAATGTTCGAGAATTTCGAGAGGTTCAAGTTCGGTTGTCGACAGAATGGCGAACGGGTGGAGGATGTCTCACTGCCGCCCTGGTGTCAGCGGGACTCTCGGCTCTTTGTGCTCATCCATCGACAGGCTTTGGAATCGGAACTGGTGCGGAATCAGATACACAACTGGATAGATTTGATATATGGGTATAAACAGAGCGGGGAGAGCGCCGTGGAGGCCATCAATGTGTTCCATCCAGCGGTAAGATATCAGGGTATACATATAAAACTGGCCTTAAGTTTTTTGAAGGTTTAAAGCAGAGCCCAAACTACTAAGGCTACCGAGTTCATACTTGTTCCCAATGTCCTAACTATACACAGCAAAAAAATTAACAAAATATCATATTGATATGATATGATATGACATTATATGATATGATGATATTTAAAGCAGAGCCCAAACTACTAAAGATACAAAGTTCATATTTTTCCCAATGTTTTACCAGAAAAAATAATAACAAAAGATCATATTGATATGAGCTGGTCAATTTTATAAATTTAAAGATCAAGTTTTTCATATCATTTTGATATGAATAAAGATTATTTTTGCTATTTTACATTTTTTTTTTTTAAATCCTACATTTGGTATTTTATATGACATGATAAAATATCATGTTGATAAGTTTAAATCATAGATTTGATATGAAATAATGTAGAATTGTCCCTATTTCAAATAGAATTTTGTGTAAAATAGGTTATAGTAAATATCATATTTTTATCCCCAGACGTACGCCGTCTTCCTGGACTCCGAGATCAGCGATCCCATAGAAAGGGAGGCGGTAAAGACCATGGTCAAGACTTATGGTCAGATGCCCAGGCAGCTCTTCAAGTCACCACATCCGGCGACCAAGGCGCTGGACTACTCCCTTGTGGACAAACCCATAGTGTCCACGGTGAGAGGTCTCCGTTGGGGTGTCTACGTAGGATCACCGCAGCTGAAGCCTCCCTCCTGGGCGAACATCCACAAGATACCCGGCACCGAGCACCTGGTGAGCTTCAGCAACACCAATGTGGTTTATGCTTTGCCCGGAAAAGCGAGTGTGATGCAGGGAGCCGAACCGGATACGTACAACGTGATCTCCTGGGGCTACGACGATCGCATCGTGAGGATCCAACCGCTGAATAAGCCACAGGCGAAGCCCAAGAACCTGCTCCACAATGGAACCTTCGACGACATCACCGCCTGTGGCTGCGATGTCAACTCGAATCAGCTTTGGTTTGGCCACAAATCCGGGAGGGTGAGTGTGTACAAGTGCACGGGAGGATTGGACTCCCAGCAGCGAGCTTCGGCGAAGAGCAGGCAGAGCTATGCGCGTGGGTTTAGTCTGTCCTACAACTCGGCCTTCCGGAAGATGACCAGCAGCAGCAAGGGAATGGGCGGGGGAGCTTCCGAAAGGAACGACGAAGCGGGCAATCTTACAAATTCCGCCACCTCGGTAAACTCCTCCATCAATTCTTCAAGTAGTGATGCCTTCCAGCGGGACGGAGCCGATCTTAGCTGGCTGGGACCCACGTTGCTGGTGCGGCACACCGACGAGATCACCTGCATCACGCTCTCCGTGGAGTTTAAGATTGCGGTGACGGCGGGACGCGATGGAATAGCTGTTATCTGGGATCTAAATGAGTAAGTAATGGTTGGAATATTTTTTAAAATATTTACTTAGTTTATTTTATTTATATTACCCTTAGTTGGAGCTACGTTAGAACAATTGCCCGACCGGCGGAGATCCACCAGTCGCCCATCACCCATGTGGCCATCAGTCCCACGCTGGGCGACATAGTCACCGTGCACACCTTGCCCCAATCCTCGCCAGATGTCAAGAATTCCACAGCAACTGCAACCAGACCGAATTCCCTCAACATTGCCGATGAATGTTTCGAGGTGACCGAAGAGAACCTCGATGACTTTGTCAATGTGAATGTGAATCCCAATGGCAAGTCCATTTTGAGACTCCACTCAGTAAACGCGCGATATGTGCAGCATTTGGTGCACGAGGATCGCATCCTGGCCATTTGTTATTCATATATAAAGGAAGGCGTGGGAGTAAATGTAATAGCCACCGCAGTGGAGGGAGGATTCGTGCGCTTCTGGTCCAGCTGGAACCTGAGCTTTGTCAGCGAACTGACCACGGGCACTTCGCCTATTAGGAGGTGAGTTAAAAGTAGCTTAAGATCTATATAAAATAATATAAAATTCTTTTTAAACCTTATCCTTAGCATCTGCTACTCCACACATCAGCATTTGGTGGTGCTAACGCGAGAGTCCCACATTCAAGTTTGGGAATCCGATGGTCTCTACGGGAATGCCCCCAAGTTCCCGCAAATCGTCTACAAATGATGACATACTCAATAAACTCAACTCAAAGCATATCAATGACAGATCACTTAAAAAGCAGCTGAATCAAAGAATAAATTGTGCGTCTGGTCAACTAGTTAATGTTTCCTTCTAAAAGATGACAAACATTTGCTAACGACCGGCACAAAATCGATATATATATCAGAAAGACTATAAGATTCCTAGGCTTAGGTCTCATAGAGCTGTAAACTACACACCTTTTGTACCAAAACTTTTTACTATTATTTAACTTTCGTATTTTGTTTTGCCCCGCGCTGCCTTCAATTGTTGATATTATCAAATAAACAATCGTATTTTGCAAAATAACTAGAGTATTTACTTTTAGAAAATTACAATATAGATTGTAGTTAATGCTTATTGAACTATGGTTATTATTAATTACAATACTACTTATTGGGAGCTTCTCTGCGTGTCAGCACTTCCAAGGAGGAGGTTTACTTCCACTCTTTGGTTTCGCCTGCTTGCTGGCTGCTCCCTGCTTGGATGTCATGGCCAGGATCTCGTCCAGCTTGTCGAAATCACCGGGCGACTTGCTCAGGAGCAGCTCAATGTAGGCCTGCAGCTTGTCCATGGGCGAAGGTGGATCCCGTTTGCCCACCACATCCAGGTTGTTCTTCTCCGTGCTGTTGCTGCGCTGCGATTTGCTCGTCTTGGGAGTTTCTGGATACATGCGGGCATTGTTTAGCTCCGGGGACTCGCCCTCAGTGTCGCTGGCCTGCAGCAGGGAGTTCTGATTGGGCGTGGTGAGAATGGCCAAAGCCTGCTGCCACTGGGCCTCCATTACGCCATGCAGCTTCTCCGCAATATCGGCACTATGAATACAAATATCTATTTAAAATACTGGAATACTAAATTATTCTAATAACTCACCGCTTGGTCTTGTAACAACTAAGCTTCAGATCCATTTCATCTATCTTTTTAGAGGCATTTGCCAGTTGGAGACGATACAGCTCCACCTCTTCGTGGTGCTTCTCCTGAATGAGATTCAGTTCCTGGTTGTTTTTCTCGTTGATCATCTCCAGCTGTTTGACGGCTCGCTCGGCAATCAGTCTTTCCCGCTCACGGGCTTCATTCTTTAGATGCTCCTCATTTTTATCCAGCTGATCCTGGAATTCCTGCATCTTTTTGGCCACCACATTTTCCATTTGCTGTTGGTAATACTGCTTCAGGGATTTATGCTGTACATCCAGCTTTTTCTTGAGGTTTGTTTCAGTCTCGGTCAGATTGGCCAGCGTTTCTTGAAGGGATTTGCGCTGGGCCTCCAGGGAATCCGCTCTGGCCTTCTGCTTTTGATGATACTCCTGCAGCATTTCCTTTTGGTGGTTCAGGGTGTTTTTGTCCTTTTCCAGCTCCTCAATGCGGGCTTTTAGCTTAGGGAATAAAGTAGAGAAATTAAAAAGCTGGGTTTGGAAATTGACACACATGTTAAAAACATGGAAAATTGTATTTTACAGTGTGAAAAAAATTGTTTGCATTGTTTTTACACAATGTGTTATTAACACGACGTATTTTTTACACACTGTGCTTTTAATACTAATGAAAATTACATTTTTTTGACACTAACGAGTCGAAGGGAAAATGAAAAACCAATATGGACCATGATATCTTATATATATATTAGTTTTAGCCATTTCAAAGCATATATGATTTCTTATACTCTAGAAAACTGTGCATTTTCCAGTTCAACATATAATTCTGACACTTTAGTAGAGTTTTTCACTCTTTTGCGTTAAACACACGCTGTGTAAAAAACACGTAGTGTAAATAACACAAATGACATGTGTGTGTTATTTATGTTTCTAACATATGTAAGATAAAATTTTTTACACACAAGTCAATAACTTTTTTTGTACCTATCACTTTGACATTTAACATGTTTTTACAGTGTTTGTTATTTTCCGAACCCTGTTAAAAAGGATAAACTTTCGAAGGTATAAAGCCAACTTACCTTCTCCTGCTGGTAATCTGACTTGGCAAACTTATCCCTCAGCTTGTTGAGCTCGCCATGGGACAGTTCCTCCGCTCTTTTGCTGCTATTCAGCTGCATTTCCAGCTGCTCAAGTCTTTCCTCCCAATCCTTGGCCTCCTGCCTGCGCTGTTCGAGTTCCCCCTCCAGTTTGTCGTTCTTCTCCTGGAACTTGGTGGCCAGGCTGACCGCCTGCGACAATTCGTGCTGCAGCGCGTCCACTTTCCCCTGAGATTCGCTCCTGTCCGCCTCCAGCCGGTGGAGGGCGTCCCGCAGTTGCTGAACCTCGTAGTTGAGACTCTGGGCCGTCTGCTCCGCCTCGTTGAGAGCGGCATCCTTAGAGCGATCCACCTCGATGGCCACGGAGATGCGCTGCTGATACTCCAGCATTTGGGATTGCAGGTTCTGGACTGTTTTCTCCAGATGCTGTCGCCGCAGTTGCTCCTCTTTGAGGGAGGGACTGCAGGTGGCCAGTCGATTGGGGGAGTTCTGATCCAGAACAGTGCGCGCCAAGCTGCTCTTGCCCCACAAATCGCTCAGGCTGATCAACTTATTCTCGTTTAGGCTGCTCCGGGCGTTTCTGGTTGGTTCTACCGAAGCAGAGGAGCTGGTGGACGCCAGTCGCAGGCTGGGCAGCGAGTTGGTTGCCGGATGAGGCTCCTGCATCCTTAGATGATCCTCGCTGTGGTGCCGCTGCTGCCAACGGGGAGCACTATTCTCGTCTAGGTAGTGATCAATCTCGGAGAGAATGTTGTCCTGGCGCAGCGGCTCCATGGAGCCGCCGCTCTTGGGCGTGGAGTGCACCATGCCACGCAGCTCCCTGTTGATATTCCTCACTGTATTCGTGGATATGGTGGATATATCCGAGGGAAGCTCCTCATCTCCAACCAATCCTATGTTCTGCAGCCGGGCATTTATGTGATTCAGCTCCGATTTCTTGTGGGGATGCAGAAACTGATAGGCGGCACTTGTGGGCGCCGGGGGCGGGGGCATGGCCAGTGCATCCTGGCCAGAGCTCATCTTGCCCCTCTCCTCCTCCGCACAGAAATGTGGTGGTATGAGCAGCAAGAGATCGGTGTCGTCGGTGTCGGTATCGCTCATTCCTCGCACATGGTAGGGAATCCGCTCCAGGAACTCTGAATTTAAACCTAATTGTTTGGAAAAACCGCAAAACAGATGCCAACAACAAAAATCCTTAGTTGCTATAGAGATGACACGACGCGTAAACATTGCAGCAGGGTTGTCGAGTCTCTCGAGTATCGCCTAGAAAAACTATCGAATAAATGCACTGATATTGCAATCGTTATCGATATTTCTCCTGTAGACCTTTTCCCGCAATTTAGAATGCTTTGTTTTCAATTTCTATAATTCGCCTGTTCAAAACATACCCCCATTTCCGCTTGGCGCGCTCCGCGATGGCAGATGTAAGCTTGATTGTGGAGGGACTGCCGGCGGTGCTCCTGAAACCGGATACAATCTACCGCATTGGAAGAAAGAAGGGCCTGGAAATCAGCATTGCCGATGAGGTTGGTTTTTCTCTTTCTGGTTTAAATAACTATAATTAAGTATAAATTTACAGTCCATGGAGCTGGCCCATGCCACCGCCTGCATCCTGCGAAGGGGAGTGGTGCGTCTGGCCGCCCTGGTGGGCAGGATGTTCGTCAACGAGCAGGAGAAGACCATTGTGGACGTGGGAAAAGAGGATGCACTGGGCGGCCAGGTGATGTTGAGATTCGGGAATGTGCAGGCCAGGTTGGAGATCAAGGAGGACAGCGATGAGGTAAACCTATCTCCTTAAAAGCTATGATATATAATACATATAATATAATATTCCTAGGCCCACGATAGCAGTGGTTTTGGGGAGTGCCTGAAGAACAGGTCCATTAATTCCACCCTGGACAGCTTGGATATCCCGGAAACACAGCCTCCTTCGGCCAACACAACAGCTAACACCACGGCAGATAGCTTCTTTATACCCGAAACCCAGGCATTTTTAGCCCCGCAAAGACCTTCGATTTCCAGCGGTGCAAGAGTGTCGCTGGGCGATGACTTTATGATACCCGAAACGCAGGATCTGCTGGCGGAACTTCCGCCACCTGCGGAGCAACCAAAATCTGTAATAAATCTCCAAGATTTCACGCTTGCCAGCGATGGCGAGTCCTCGCAGGGCAGCATGATACGCATGTGCACCCAGGATTACAACGAAGATGCCATCGATGATTTTGATTCGTCTCAAGTCCTCTGCGATGCTTTGTTACCTCTGCCGCCGCCTGCGAAACCCAGGGAAACGCTGGAGAGGAAGGAAACTAAGCAGGGTAAGGGGAGAATCTGTAGAACCATATATTTTATAATAATATATTAATCATACCTAGATCATTTGGACGCCACCGACTTGGAAATGAGTGCTTTAAATTGGTCTGCCAGCAATTCCAAGTGCTGTGCCCTGAGTAGCACCAAAGCGGAGGAAGTGCTGCCGCCTGGAGATGCCTGCATTACTCCCGAATTATCTGCTCCCTCTGGGGATCGTAATATTTGCACTCCCGATCTATTCGATTTGATTTTGGGCCGGGAGAACCGAGCTGATTCTGCTAGTCCAGATCCTTTTGTTCGGCCTGCAAATAGAGAGAAAACCACCACACCGCAGTTTGGCGGAATCAAACAGCTGGTTGTGGCCACCATTGAGACCCCCACTGCCACTCCTGACCAAGAAAAAGCATCGAACAGCCAGGACATGATCGCCACTCAACGATTTCCAGGCAACAAATTGTTTGAAAGTGACGGCGAGGATAATGAGCCAACTAATCAAGATTTCGTGGCCACTCAGGCGTTTAATTTGGCTCCAAAATCACCAAAAGATAAGGAAACCAATCAGGATTTCATAGCAACTCAGGCATTTAACCTAAGGCGACCTCAAGCACAGACAGCTAATGAGACTTCCAATCAAGATTTTATTGCAACTCAGGTGTTTAACTTGGAACAAAAGAACAATGAGACTTTGAACCAAGATTTAATAGCCACCCAAGCCTTTCCCGGCAGGATTAATAGCTCTCGTTGCCAGGACTTTATAGCCACACAACCCTTTCATGTGGTTAAACAGCATTCCTTGAATTTGGGCAACAAAGAAAATATTCAACAGAATGTCAGTGGCAAAAAGAAACCTATTAAAGGTTCAAAAACTTCTAAAAAGCCTTGTAATGAGATAGATTCTGTGCTAGATGAAATGCTCTCAGGAACTGTGGTTACTTCGCCTGTAAATCCCAACGAAGAGGCCATCAAGTTCTTTAAACCATGCGTGATTAAGGATAAGAATCACTACCAAAAGGTATTTTTAAGATCAAGATCCAAAATATGTATTTATATTTATTTTTACCTTGCAGATTTGCCAAATCGAAGGTGTTTTCAGTGACGTGAGCAACAAAAGTCGTTGGCGAACTGAGGAAGGCAGTCGCAAACGTTGCGCCAAATCGGAATCACCTCCAACTACGCGTAAGTTAAGAAATAATTAAATCATAATTCAAATTATATAAATAGAATGAACTTCACAGCCAGCCGAAAGAATCGACGAATTTCGGAGGGATCTCAGCGTTTTGAAAGTAATTTCAGAAAACGACGAGCAAACTCAGAGGATAAAAACTCAGAACGTAAGTTTTTTGCAAAGAATCCAAGAAATCTTTATTAATATTTTAATTTTTGTAGCATTTAGCAAATCTATTTGCCAGGAACAGGAAATCCCAACAATTTCAGAAGAGAAAACAAAAGAGGATAAAGGAAACACTGCGTTTAAAAAGGAGGAAAGCTCTTTAAAAAATAATAAAGTAATCACCGAGTTGGAGGAAAAATCTAACGAAGAGCCACCGGCGAAGAAAAAGCGCGGCAGAAAAGCCAAGAATGCAGAGACAAGCCAGGCAGAAACATCGAAGGATATTCTCAAGCCAACTATCCGAACCAGGCGCAAAACCGGCGATGAAGATGCTGTTACGTCTGGTAAAGAAAAACCAACAAAAGCCAAGATTGCAGAGAAAAACAAGGCCGATATATCTAAGGACATTCCCAAACCAATGGCTAGAACCACACGGCAAACCAGCATTGAAGAGGTGGAGCTGCCTGTAAAGAAAGAAAGTGGAAGGAAGGCCAAGAAGGCAGACACATCCAAGGATATTCCAAAGCCAACTATACGAACCAGGCGACAAACTAGCGAGGAAGATGCAGCGACTACTGGAGCAGAAAAGGATGGAAAGGATATTCCCAAACTAATGCCTAGAACCAGGCGCAAAGCTAGCGAAGATGATTCTGTAATGCCTAAGGTAGAAAACCCTGTTAAAGCGAAAAGGGGAAGGAAGCCCAAGGTGGAGGCATTGGAGGATAAAGCACCACTAAAAACCAGTAAGGCGGAGGCACCCGAGGATAAAGCTCCATTAAGAACCAGGCGTAAAACTGTCGTCGAAGATCGCGACACTCTCCCTGAAGAAAAACCCATTAACACATCAATTAAACGTGCAGTTGTTCGTTTATCCAGGACAACCATTGATCAAAAAGAGACTTCATCTAGCTCTGTCACGCCTTCCATCGAAGAGCCATCATCTAGCTCCACTGCTGTAGCTTCGCGAGCTCCAAGAGCAACTCGACTAGCTAAGTCGCGTTCCACAACACCAGTTATCAATGATACCAAAGGTCCTAAGAAGCTTCCCTCGCGTGAAGAGCCATCATCCAGTTCTGTTGATTCTAAGAAAATAAAAACTGCAGCTGAAGAGGAAGCTATAAAGAATAGATCAGGAGCCAGTAAGTTGGATCTACATTTAATTAAATATTTGATATTATATTTATTTATCTTCAATAGCCACCACTCGATTTAGTCAGCCGGTTGCAGATCCCCTAAAAGGTAAGTTTCCTCTCTTCAAAAAGTAATTTATTATTTACTTGAAATGCCTTCCTTTTTTTAGTCTTCAATCAATATGTGAGGAAGGCCAAAACGAGTGGAAAAATAAAGATAGCCTTCACCATGTGCAATCGTGTGGCTTTAGAATCCGTCTTAAAAGCATTGAAGCGTAAGAAAATGCAGGCTTATAAACGAAACAACTTCTAATTTGATTTCTTCCATTTCTAGATGTGGTGGAGACCACAGAGGATCCCCTACAGTGCGACCTGCTCATCATGGACAAGGGCGAGCGCACCTTCAAGTTCCTCGCGGTGATTGCCTCCAACAAACCTGTACTCTCCAGCAATTGGCTGCATTCCGTAAAGAAAACCAGAAGCATCGACATAAAGGCAGATCATCTGTTTAGCGATGCCAAGTTCGAGGAGTCCTTTAAATTTAAACCGCTGTCTGTAATGGAACATCCCCGTTTGCTGTACGGCTTGCACTTTATGCTCGGCGAAGACATCATACCCAAGGCCAGCGAAATGAAAGTCATTATCCAAAGTGCCGGCGGCAAGGTCCACGCTCAACCGCCTTCGCTGGCCATCAGTGTGGAGCTGTATGTGGTGACCACCAGCAAAGACACGAAATCCAAGAGGCGCCTGAGCAACCACGAGAATGTGCACTACATCAAAACCGAGGCCATTATGCAGGCGCTCGTTCAACACAACAGGGAGCTGCTAGACGAGTTCAAGCTGAAACTTTAAGGATATACTTATTACATTTCTTGTTTAGTGTTTTTTCGAATTTCCATTGATATTGTTAACTTCTTTCTATAAAGCTTTAAATTTAGGTTTCTTTGTATTATATATTAATTTTTGTTTAATGTTTTCTGGGGCCATATTCATATTCGTATTCCAACGACCTGTCAAATACATCACACTGCTTACAACTACTCCATCTTCTTGCGCTTCGAACCCGTGGGCTTGTCAAACTGCTGCCTCATGCCGCCGGCGCGTTCGTTGTGGAACTTGATGTTGCTCGAGGATTCGGCGTACCAGGGCGAATCGAACTTGGTGGTGTCCTGATCGACTAAATGCGTGTACTTGGTGCGGCCGCAGCGGCCGAAATTCTTCACCTGCATCACCTTGGGCAGGATGGTCTTGTCGAAGTGATCCTCCAGCGTGGCCTGGGCAAAGTCTCGCTTCAGCACATCGTTCTCCTCGTCCAGGTAGAAGGCGCCGCGATGGTAGTACTTCTGCAGGAACTTGTACTTGCCCTTGGTGGCCTTGTTGGTCACCGTTTTGGGGTTCTGGCGCAGCTCCTGGCGCCGCTCCTCCTCGGTCATGTTGCGCATGCGATCGATGTCCAGCTTTTCGCGTTCAGTGCTGGAAAATAAGGAACATTTAAACCAGGGTTCGGAAAATATCATATTGTTAAGTTCAAAAAAAGTTATTGACTTGTGTGTAAAAAAATTGTATCCTACATGTGTTAGAAACATAAAAAACACACACATGTCATTTGTGTTACTTACACGACGTGTTTCTTACACAATGAGTTTTTGACATTAAAGTGTCAGAAAAATGCACGGTTTTCTAGATATATATATTTCATATATCCTTTGAAATGGTTAAAACTAACATATAAGATATCATGGCCCAAATTGGTTTTTCATTTTCCCTTCGACTCGTTAATATCAGTGCAATGTAATATTCATTTGTGATAAAAACACAGTGTGTAAAAAACACGACGTGTTAATAACACATTGTGTAAATAACACAAGTGATTTTAACACTTTTGTATTTGACACACATGTCAAAAATTTTGCTCACACTGTAAAATACAATTTTTCATGTTTTTAACATGTGTGTCAATTTTTGAACCCTGATTTCGAACAGAATTTATTAGAAGTATATTGATTTCGACTCACTTATCTCGCTCCTCGCGATCCCGCTTCATCCGCTTGAGCTCGCGCAGCTTCCAGGCCTCGTACTCCACCTCGTCGTTCTCGTCATCCGTGCACACATCCTCGATGCACGCCTCGTTGCTCTCCGGCTTGGTCTTCTCCAGATCCTTCTTCACGCTCTCCTCGACCATTCGCAGCGTGGCCCTGCGCCGCTCCTTGGCCGCCCGCTTGGCCTCCGCCTCCAGCTGCTTCTGCTTCTGGGCCTCGCGCTCCTTCTCCTGGATGGTGGCCCTATCTCGTTTGCGCACAAAGAGCGGTTTCAGGCGCGGCTCGTTGTCCTCCTCGCTCTCCGTCTCCTCCTCGTACTCGGAGCTCTCGGATTCGGAGGACTCTGACTGCTTCTCGTCCTCCTTCTGCAGCACCTCCTCCTCGCGCTGCTGCTGCAGCATCCGGGAACGTAGCTTGGTGCGCCGGCTCTCCAGCTCCGCGTCGCTGAGCTCCGCATCCGTGTCCGATTCGGAGGCCAGTGTGATCTTGTTGGTGCCGCGCTCAATGGCTCGCTGCGGCGGCTCCTCCTCCTCCTCGTCCTCGCTGTCGCTCTCCATGATCTCCGGCTCGTGGATGTGTCGGTGGCGTTCGCGTCGCTCGCGTTCCATGTCCTCCATGTCCACGGGTCGCTGGCGCAATCTGCGCAGCCGGGGATCGTCCACCTCGGCCTCGTCCTCCTCGGCATTATCGCCCGCCGCCCGCTCCTCCCCCTCGGCGCTGCCCGCGCGGCGGGAGAGCTCCAGTTTGTGCCGCTCCGCCTTGTGGCGCTCCAGCCGCTTCCTGGTGTCAATGAAGTCATCCTCGTCGCTCTCCTCCGAACTGGAGTCCGCCTGGGCGTAGTCGGGCCGCTTGCCGGATATGTAGCGCTGCACCTTCACCTTCTGCATGGACAATTCACCTGAGGAAAGGGGTTTAACAACCATATATAAACAATTTCTGGCCGAGATTGGGGTCTCTTTGTTTACCCTTCTCATTGCGCATGGGAATGGCGCCCGCTGTGCTCTGAATCCCAGACGCGGCGGCGGCGGCACTCATCTTGATTTCAGCCTAGTTTTCAACGCTTTAAATTACAAATTCCTAATTTTCTAATACAAAATAATAATGTAAATATTTGTGGTCCAAACTGAGAAGTTAATCGATAGAGATGGATAGTTGGCTATAGCTATTGATTGTCCGCAATTACTGGCGATCGGCGGGATTTTATCGATTCAATTTAATATTTTTTATGCTTTCAGTATATACCGCCACTGTCCTACCTGCATAACAAATATCAGGGGTATTCCCCAAACTGTTGAAAATTCAACAGAAAATTTCAGCAATTGAAGGAACAACCCAAAATGGTTCTTGTTGAATTTTCAAACAGCTGTTATTTGTTGAAAAGTTTCACGGAAATCAAACATGTAAAATTTGATTTATTATTGCTAGTTACTGTCTAAAATTGTTACCAAGGTACCACAAATATTCTTTCTAAGTTGGTTTTGAAATAAATAATGCTTACTGGTGATACTAAAATGTTACAAAGTTGCATTGACTTTTAATAAAATTTTCAACAGTCCCGAGGCTGTTGAATTGCTAAAATTTTTGAAAGTTGACTATGTATGGAACAGCTGTTCAAAATTCAACAATTCAGCAAGTCAACAGTTTAGGGAATACCATAAACATTTTTAGCAAGGAATACCCTGAATATTTTTTATACTTTCAGTATATACCGAAAATCCCTGCAAAACTGCGAGACAAAATTGTCTAAAACCCGATAACTTGTTCGATGCATCACTTTTGAGGTCGTTATCGCTTCATATTTATTTTTTTTGAAAGAAGCAAGACGTCTACAGGAGCTATTCTATTTTAATTGCTCCAAGTTTCGCACCCGATCCTCAAACGACCGCAGGCCCTCGCACCACTCTTTTGCTTTTGATCTTGAGATCAAAGCCTTTTCACAAAATAGTGGTTATGATGTTATGTAAACTATATAGATAGGACTTTTGTAATGGTCCCGCTTATTGTTTTCCCAATGATAACAAGCATACGCCACTCGTTGTTATTAAAATTTTCATTACGTAGGCACTAAATGAACATTTCATCGGTTATTAATAATAACTTATTATACTAAAAGGATATTAAAAACTTTCCAGGTTCTTGTAAAACTGTACGCGCCCGTTGTTAAGTAAGAACAAGTGATCATGCTGATGTAGTCAGGATAAGAAATTTTTTTTTAAATTTAAATATATATCGGCCAGCAATTTGCTGCCCACATAGGCTAGACTGCAAGCCTGCTTGAAGGAGTCCAGAGTTAGACGATCTGTGTAAATGTAATTGAGCAATGCTTCAAAAGTCTATTGCTCAACTTCAGGTACATGAACTGGGTCAGGCTGGTCCCTATCGCCGTAAAGCATGTCTCCGAATTCCGGAGAGGCCATTGCTAGGATGAGCTTGTGGCCTAGGATGACCCGCTGGCTCGGCGACGAGTAATGTACAAAATTCCGTAATGTTCTGTTGTGAGTCTCCACCTCTTCCTGTGTTTCGTCAAGAACAAAAATGGGTGTAAAAATTGAAAATTACTCATATGATACGTAAAACAGATCGTCCTTGGTCGAAAGAAACTCTTCTCCGATTGTAAGAAGTGCTTGAAAATGCATTTTTAAATTGTTATCCGATTGGGGACCACCCTAGCGTAGAAGCTTTTGATCTAAAATGGAATAGAATTTTGTTATTTTTTAACTACCTGGACCGATAAGCAATGAGCAAAATTGAAGTTTATATAAACTTGCAGTTAAAATAAATACCTACCGCATAATTAACCTTCTTTGAGAGCTTCAAAGGCTCTATCTCGATGGGTCCCGTTTCGGGTACATCAGATGTATTATTGCTTCAAGTACTCTGTCTTTCGTGACCGAGATTCTGGTGCTCCCTCGATCGGTGCCGTTCCAGGGATATCCGAGATATTATTGCCTTCACTTCAACCATCTCTGAGAGAGTGCCGAGTCCTACCTGCTAAGACTACGGGTCAGGATATTTGCACATTCAAGTGCGTGCTCTTCGGCAATAGCGACACCGGAATGAAAGCCTTTACGGGTCCTTATTTGCGACGCATTTCAAGAGTATTAGGTAGCAAAGGCTACCACGACTGACCGCAATTTACTAAAATTGGCAATGCCCGCGTAATGATTTTTTTAATTACTCCATATTTTGCACCCGATCCTCAAACGACCTCAGGCCCTCGCACCGCTCTCTTGCTTTTGATCTCGAGATCAAAGCCTCTTTACAAATTAGTGGTTATGTCCAGCTCCTCACTGACTAGTGTCTGGGTGCTGGTCGTCCATGATGTCTGTTATTATCGCGATCATAGGGTTTATAGCGTCGGCCGCGTTGCTCTCGATCCCCCGCCACGTCCAGATCTCTTAAATTCCTTGCAGCGGGACGCAAGGCATGTTAAAATAAGTTTGCTGCCCACATAAGTTAAACTGCAAGCCTGGTTGAAGGAGTCCAAAGTTAACTGATCCGTGTATATGTAAGTTGGCATAGCTTCAAAAGCCTCTGGCTCAACTTCAGGGACAAGAACTGGGTCCGGCTGGTCCCTATCGCCGTATAACATGTCACCGAATACCGGCGAGGCCATTGCTAGGATGAGCTTGTGGCCTAGGATGACCCGCTGGCTCGGCGACGAGTAATGTACAAAATTCCGTAATGTTCTGTTGTGAGTCTCAACCTCTTCCTGTGTTTCGTCAAGGACAAAAATGTGTGTGAAAATTAATCATATGATACGTAAAACAGATCGTCCTTGGTCGAAAGAAACTCTTCTCCGATTGTAAGAAGTACTTGAAAATGCATTTTTAAATTGTTATCCGATTGGGGACCACCCTAGCTTAAAAGCTTTTGATCTAAAATGGAATAGAATTTGGTTATTTGTAAACCCTTAACCATGATATAAAAGAGAAGACCTACAACATTTGGTTGGTAATTCTAAAAAAAAAAATTGTTCTGATAAAAACATATATTTGAGGCGAAAAGAATATAACAAGCAAAAAAAAATTATAGTAACGCAATTTCACATAATATACGTGGTATGGAAAACCCAAATAACGCTTGTTATGCGAACTCTGCTTTTATAAATATAAAATTTATAAAGGAATCAGTATTAAACCGAGCTCGTAAAAAAAGGTCTCGTTGTGCTTGTTGTCAGAAAAAAAACCCCACATACTGACCCCATACGAAGCTGTCAGAGACCCTAAAATTTCGATTGCCTTATAGTCTAGTCACACTATGTGGGTAACCTATCGAGTAAGCCAATAACCCGATTACTCCAAAAAAGTGTTTCCACTGGGTTAACTCCAAATAATAGTAATGACATCTAGTGTTTGTTGTTTGTTGTTTGTTTCTGCCACTCTTTGTTCTCAATTCTGTAATGACTTCTGACTGCAAGGGAATAAAAATATCACTTATTTTGAGCAACCATTGACATAGTTGCGGTTTTTCGTATTTTATTGCTCATATAAATAGTTTACTGTATAATTTTTCTAGCCTCAAGATTAAATGCGGATAAGGGAAATTTTGGCGTATGCGGGATATCAGCTGGATTATGTTGGGTCCCAAGGGAGTTTTTGATAAATTCTATAAGATTTACTTGTTATCAAAGCCCTTGAAAGCCAATGGTTGAGATTAATTTTTGGGGACTTAGAATAAAGGGGCTTAGTTTTACAGGCAAAGACTCAGTTGACTAAAAGTGTTTCGTGCTGAAAGTTTCTACATAAAAATGTATATGTGCGCTATAATTTTAATTCCAACTATTATTGGGATTTCAACGGCTGATATTCCCAAATGTGACTACTTCGATACCGTTGATATTTCGTATTTAAAAAGACTCAACGATACTTACATATATCAGGGCCTCGAGATTCCTTCTAACCTTATTGCGGAGTATAATTATAGGGAGTTAAGAGATGGAACCAAAGAGCCTGTGAAAACTCACCTCAGAGCCTGTGTCTGTGAAGTGAAGCCGTGTGTCCGAATCTGCTGCCCCCGAAAAAATATGTTAGCAAACGGAACATGTAACGGTGGATTTAATAAAGAGATTACTCTGCAAATGGCAGACGTTACGTTAGGGGACATAGAGTCACACAATATCCAGAACTTAGGATGGATTACCAATTATTTTAGGTTAACGAGTGAGTTTGAAGCGTGCGATGATATACTCAGACTTAATGCGGATGATTACGTAATGTTAAAGGTTTGCCATGCGATCTGAAAACAGGTTAGAAGTTTCTAATATATGTTATTTAGAACGGATCGATAAAAATATTCAACACTAATGAAATCTGGGCAAAAGAAGATTACTGTCTGTATCCGCAGTTTAGTTCGGATTTTTCCAATTCCATTTGGGCTTTTAAACACAATTGTGTGGAATATTTGCTGCCAGCGACCATGGAGAGTAATAAAATACATTAATTTATGACTTTCGCTGTAACCATAATTTCTCTATTTCTGTACTTGCAGTCAGGGTGATATCCGCAATTTTCTACATCCTCACATTGTTTGTGTATCTTTACGTTAGGAAGCTTCGAAATGTCCTCGGCAAGTGTATTATTTCTTCCATATTCAGCTTGCTCATTTCGGATCTTTTTGACATACTGAACACATTTAATGTATTAAGCCGCATTTGCCTATTAGCAGGTTAGTTGTTAATATTGAATTCAGATTGGATTTTAATAACACCAGTTTACAAAATATTGTGTAATAGGACAAACTACTAACATTCGTGGTTTTTCGTCAGCTTACAGTGAATACTTGTTCGAGTTAGCCATCAATTTTTGGTATTCTTTGATCAGCTTCCATTTGTGGAAATTATTGACGAATAGAAGTGAGCATTCATCGTTTCTTAAATACAGTGTCTTCGCTTGGGGCATGGCTGCAATTCCAACAGGAGTTATTTATTTAGTGAATATATTTTGGGAGGAGGATCTCCATAAATGGAAGTGGTTGCCCTTAGTTGGCTATTCTAAATGCTGGCTGCAAGGTTTGAATTAAAGAAAAATGTATCTAAGGGTTTACAATATATTTCATTTCGTCTACAGTTCGGGGGCCCTCCTTTTGGATATTCTATCATGGACCAGTACTGACTCTAACCCTTTTTAATGTGATTATGTTTATTCTTACGGTCACTCACATTTGGAAAGTTAAGAGCGAACTGAGAAAGTTTAAACGAGATGAAGAGAGGACTATACAATGCTTCACTTTTGACACTGAGGCGTAAGAACTAATCATTTTTCAGAGTTTGGTAAGCAGTCTAATATATGTACATTTTAAATTTCCTTCTTAGATATCTAGTGTTTTTGAGGCTCTCTGTTATCACGGGCGCGTGTTGGATCATAGATTTGTTGTATTTGTTACATGACTACAGATATATTCAGCAGGTCTTGAATTTTGTCATCTATATAGATAGAAGTTTGGGAATTATCTATTTTATTCTGCTTATCTTTAAGCGCAGCACCCTAAAACTGCTCATGGAGAGGTAAGTTCGCTATGCATTCAGATATATTTTCGAATAACCAGCTCCCTGTTCCAGCAGAATTCGGGAAAGATGAATGAAATGGTATCCAGACGGTGTTATTTTTAGCTCTTAAAAAACAAATAGAAATTGTTCCATTCATAAACGTTTCAACAACTTTGTAAATTATTTGATTAAAACCCATTAGCATGGTCATTTTTAACGTCGCATATCACTCATTCAGGCACCGGACCGACGGTTGCCATTTTTTTCGAATTATTCTTAAAAATTAACATGGTCGCAATAAAATAAACACAGGGCCAGCCGAGGCACGAACCATACCCTGTGTGAATTTTAGTGGGACCATATGCCCATGGGTTGTGTCTCTTCAAAAACTTAATGGCAACTCTAGCGTAGTAAGCGGGAAATTTGAAAATTATTAACCAAACGGTTTTTTATAATTATTTTTTTTGGCTAACGTAAAATGTTTATTGTTGATTTTAAGGAAAAATGACGGAAGTGTTATGACTTTGCAGCTTCCAAATTAAAACCACCAACTAATTGAGACAATTAACGATATGAATACACCAAGTACTCTTATGTGCCACTGAGAAACCATTTTCCAAATAATTTAAAATGGTTTTATATACAGATTGAGAATAAGAGGTGTTTATAATCAAAAATAAACCTAATACTAAATATAAAATAGGATTTTAAATTATCAAAAAATATTTAGTGCCAGTTTTTACATATATAATAAACTTTTATGGATTTTAAAATTTATTATCTTAATTTCCCAGATATTTGCACACATTTTTCACTCAGTGCCAGTACTATTGATAAGTATTTTAGCAATGTCAACGCCCACTCTCATTAGTGCATTAATTGACTACTACGCTTTCTCCTATTCCGAATCCAATTTCATAAATATGAATGGGCGGTCGTCTCCAGACGATGATCTTGTGTAATGCCGGAATCGACAGAATCCGACAAATTCTTTTATTGATATTGCGTATATTTCAAGATTCCATTACGACAGCACGCACCCAGCACGTGTGTAGATCATGTAAATGTTTGGAGAACGTTCTGATTATGATATGAAATGGGGGGTTCGAGATACCGACCGACCCAACCGGACCAAAGTCCGAAAGAACAACTTGCCGGTCGAGAGGCTCGACCAGTTTTGTGACGTGTTGGGCTCACTTGCATCCGAGAAATAGAGTTTCAGGTGGATGGGGATTGGGGATGGGGATCGTTTCGGGCCTAAACACACCGAGTCGCATTTGCCGAACTGCTTTTAACTGCTTTTCGTCGGCTAAAGTAGTTGAATGGCCAAGATTTACATGAGACTGTTAGTTAACGACATGGCGGGCATATTTAATTAATGCAACACGCTTCATGCTTAAATGCATATCTGCCCAGTTAACTCACTGACCTTTACTAAGGTGTTGATTTGGAGACTTTCCGCTTATGGGGAAGTACCTCTTCAGAAATTTTAAATTTTAGATTAGTATTTGGGATGCATAAGATCGAAACACGTGCATCTCCCATTTCTTTGGCCCCAATGCAAATTTATTGTGATTGAAACTCTCTTTGAACCGGGCCGGCGCCGTTTCAATTCTCATTTAAATTCAAATTCCAAATACATTTCAATTAAAATTAAACACTTAAGCACTCACAATTGTAAACAAATAATTTTCTATTAGCTGGAGAAAGAGTGTCATGCCTGATCAAAATCGTACCAGATCGAACTCGTTATCGTTATCCAAGTAAGACATAACATAACCACCCAGGCAATTGAGGCGAGGCGATGAATACAATATTGTACAAAATACAAATAAAAAATAACAGAAAAAAAAGAAAGATAAAATCGTTTTCATTATTAATTGGCGCACTTTTTTCCTTTGTGACTCGGGGCTCGAGTTACTTAAAAAGTAATAAAGGGTGAGGAGCCAAATGGAAACATTTACACATCACGCAAACCGAAACTGGCTAAGAACCAGCAGTTAAATTTTTCTGTTTTGTTTACAACGCATTTCATTTGGATCCCTACTCGTCGCCACCCAGACAATTAACGATCTCGAGATCGAGAGATCTGCAAAGGAGTTGGAAAATACCGGATATTTTCCGACTTTCGACGAGGAGGAGACTTCTCCAGAATTGGAATGATTCTTCGCACATGAATCAGAACGTTGCAATTCTCAAATTAATTGGCAGCAATTCACTTGAACCTTTTCTTTTTTAGGTGGTTTGGCAAACATTTTTCATCGAATTTAGCTCCCTGCATCGAATCCGGAATTTATTGTGTGCGGATTACTTAACCCCATCAGATTGTTTCAATTAAATATTGAAAGCTTCCTTTTTGCAAAATAATTGGGGATGGCAAATTATTGATTTAATTCCAAATCAATTTATGGGATTATTTTTTAGAATTAATTTATTACTGACATTTAATAATAACTTGCTAAAGAAAATCTACCTATAATTCTAGTGATTATTATGTAGGAATTTCTTTTTTGCCTAACTTATTAGTTTTAATTTGGAATGAATCTTTAGCATTCCATTAATTTAATTATAAGTACATTTTATTTAAATTTATGTTCAAAAAGAGTTAATCTTTTTTTTAATAATTATAAGGTCAACGATAAAATAATTTTTTTTGTATTAAAAAAGTAGTTTTGAAAAAGGTTATAATATCTTCGAAAATATCTTCTATCTAATACTTAAAGTATTTTATTTTATAATTTTTATATAATTGACAATAGCCTATAAAAATGTTGCAAATGGTATCTTAGAAATTATGTAAGTTAAATTAAATAATGTCTTATGAAAGAACGGTCAACATATCAAAGAATTTATATATTTTTATAATAATCGTAGGAAATTTGTTTATTTGTTTAGTTATCTTAGGAAATGATTATCTTTAATTCCAGATTAAGCGTTTAAAATAAGTTGCCTATATCTTAGCACCGCCACACGACTATTGGCTACCAATTTAGTTTTCTCTCCACGAAGATCGGCGATCGCATATCCGGCGTCGATTTGCCTGCTCTTCGTTCGATTTTCGCTCTTTCTTCGCTTTTCAAGAGATCTCGATTTGTGGGGTTCCCGAAGCTGGGAGCCCGAGATTTTGCCGCCTTGGATGTCGTATAAAATAGCGTAACGGCCGCTTGCAAAACTCATTCATTTCAAAATTGTCAATCCGTTCGAACAGCGATAACAGCGAGCAGGAAATCGAAGAAAATAAAAATAGTGCTCAAAGTGAAGGATAAAGTTCACAAAGGACACAAAGCTTTAAAAGGACCCTCCAAAGGATTATAATTTAAAGTGATAAATTAGTTTTGTGTATAGAATAAAAAAAAACCGTTAATGAAATACAGAAATAATCGTGGCACAATTTTGCAAATACAGTTCAGAACATTTCTAAAAAACGGTTTTCCATGTTTAATTCCATTTGAGAGCTAAACGAAAAAGCGACAGTCGAAGGATTTTGAACTTAACGAATTGGAAAATAATCAACCAAGGTGAGGAAGTTAATATGTGAAAGCAACTCAAGTGTTTAATTGTGAACATATGCAAATTAGATATTTTGATTTTTTTTACACTAGTTGTCATTGATAAACTGCCGACTAGTGTAAACAGCCAAGACAGTTTAATTTATAGGTGCAAAATATACTAGCCCAGAAAAATTAATTAAGAGAAATTGCTTAAATTATTTATGACTAAGTAAAAAAAGTAAGTAAAAAAGTAACGAGGGGAAAAAAACAGTTTGTGGAAATGCATTTGTCGAACAAGCTAATAAAGCTCAACTCTCATTCTGAAAGTATTTAAAGTTAAAATATTCTCGTGAATAGCTTAACTTTGGTATTAGGTAATATTTGCAGCTGTCAGGGGGAAAAAATGTGGAAAATTGCTTTGATTGTTGTGAGGCACCCACTTTGCGATCGGTATCTTTGGCCAACAGTCTGTGCCACAAATCATATTGTTTAAATTAATAATAATAAAATAAAAGAGATGGGGTGTTCGCCAGACAAGATTAAAACCAGCCAGGAAAAGCAACACAAAGCACGCATATCAATTGGCTGCGAAGATGATGATGATGCCATTTAATGGGAACGAAGGGCTTTTTGTAATGGAATGGAATGGGTTGAGGGAAAAGTCCGCCAATTAAGCTACAAGCGTGCCTCCGACCAGAACTCAAAACTCATACGACCTGTGGGTTCTTACTATACCATGAAAAACGAGTTTCACCCACCGACCCTTAAGAAAACAAACAAAAGAACGTAATATCAGTTGTAGAATATTTAAATTAATTTATGTAATTTATTTAAAAGCTTAAGATGCAAATTTTTAGTTAAGTAACTATCATATATTAGAGAAATATTTGAATAGTTTAGGTAAGGTTACATTATAACACATTGATAGTAATTTAAAACTATTTTACAAAACTTTTTTAAAATTTATAGAAAAAATAGAAAAATATAAAACGGAAAAATATAATAAAACTAGTCATGGTAAAATAACAAATATATTTAAATTTTGAAAATATTTAATTTATACAAATATTTAAAATTTGAAAATCTTAAGGTCCAAAAAAGGTTAAACTACGCATTTAAAATGTAAAAAAAATATAAGAAACCTAACTGATATTTTCTCTCTGTGTATCTGGCCAATTTGACCATCGCTCTCTTCTCACTGGGCCTTTTGCTCTTAGTTTCTGGCCTTGTCTTTGGAGACTGGGATGCTGTTGCTCTTCGAAGATTCCCCTAGCGATGGCGAATTTCTGGCCCAAACCGGCGCAATCCGGCTCAGTCCAATGGCCACCGATCTAAACCAGTTGAATTCGCTTAAATCTCGATTGGCCCGCTCAAACTTTGTATTTTGTAGCCCTATTTGTTAGCTATATGTGTGATATATCTGTGTACAGGAGCAGCTTTTCTTTAATGGTTTGATTGGCCCGGAAAAGTGGGATGGGGAAGGAGGAGGAGGAGGCGGGAGAAGGAGGCGCCAGGGGTTCTAGTTTCATCAAAAATAATTGTCGAGTGTTTGGGATCAATTGAATGGGAAGTGATTGCCATCGTTTATCAGTTGCAAACTGTGTATTTTATGATTTAACAATTAAGAAAAGACACAAGGAATGTGTAATAAATTTAAGTTACTCAAAGACAAGTCTTGTGTAATGAATAAAAAAACTGAAAATTAAAAGAAAATTTACTCAAAATAATGTAGATTACAAAAAAGTTATGAAACTAGTCATCATATTTAAAAAAGATTTATTACATAATTTTTAATAAAAATAAAAAAAGCTATATATATTTTATTTAATAAGGTTAGTATAACTAAAGTTAATTAATCTATAACTATAATTAATCTATAATAACTTTAGTTATAAAATAGGAAATCCTAGAGTTTTCCATAATCCTTAAAGCTTAAACATATTGCGTCTTAAAATTTCCTTTAGATTAGCCGAAACATAATGCTAGATTACCCTACCAAATTCCTAACCTTCAACATCATCCATGCGATTTCTTTTGGCCAGAAATAACCAGTTTGAGCGCCTAACAACCAGTTAAAAGCAGCTTTCTGCTTGGGCCCAAATCTTTTGCAGCCCATCTACTTGTAACTCTTACAGAGCCAATAACTCTGGAAGAAGAAATATATTTCCCAAAAAAAGAAAAGAACGTTGCCTTGACTGCGGCCCCAGCGAAGAAAACATATTAATCATAAAGCAATTACGCTCAAATGGAATTGTTTGTATAAGGAAATAATATATTTGTACTTGAGCTGGGGGCGCTGGTCCAATGGCCTCCCCCTACTCGAGATTCCGATACAGATACTTTTACAGATCGAGATCTTTCGGTTAATTAATTAATAGCACCCAAAGTGACACCCACGGTGTTTGAATTTCTTTGTCTTTGCCGCCTCGTTGCAATTTCTCTTTTTTGCGAACCTTGATCTTGCAATGATCTAAGTCTAAATCGTTTCCGAACTTTTCTCGTTTCAGTTTGCACTCAAGTCGCCGGGCGGAAAGTCGTCGACTGGAGAAGGTAACTTCTCCCGGAAATCGTAGTAACATACCTCATCCTTGATAAGGAGGACTTAACCAGGACTCAGGATGTTCGCCACTCAGGATACCATTCTAAAGTTGCTGACACTGTGCGCCCTGGCACATTCTATAAACGGATTGGCACTTTCGGAAAAATCCCCATCAGGATCTGGACCTTTAGATCCCAGTCACAAGTACTTGATTGTGCGGGGTGAAGCCCCCAGTTCCAGTTCCCAGGAGCATGTGGAGTTCGATAATGCGGCCACCCTTCTACTGAGAGCCTTTAAGAACCAGCAGATACCGGGAACTCCGAATGATCTGGAGGAATGCAGTGCTCCCAGTCACAAGGCCACCTTTTCGGGTTACGATTATGTGATTCTTTTGGGCATGCTGATCATCTCGCTGGGGATTGGCATCTTTTATGGGTTCTTCCAGAAGGGCGGCAGCTCCTCCAATGAGTTTCTCCTCGGTTCTGAAATGAGCATTTTCCCCGTGACCCTCAGTTTAACGACCAGTTTTATTACGGCCATTGAGCTGCTGGGCAATCCCTCTGAGATGTACTTCCAAGGCACTCAATTTGTGCTTATAGTAATCCCCATGGTCTTGGTTATACCGGTGGCAGTAAAAATATTCTATCCCATTTACTTTAAAATGGAACTCACCAGCTGCTATGAATATCTGGGGATACGTTTTGGCAAGGAAATCAGGATACTGGGTGCAGTGCTCTATGTCATTCAGGTGAGGTTTAGGGACTTTTATTTTAAGATTTATTAATTTATTTTATAATTTTTTATTTATTTTTCAGATGTGCTTCTATACAGCTGTGGCTGTTTTGGCCCCGGCAATTGCTCTTTCGAAGGCCACTGGCTTGGACACCAAAATAGCCGTGGTTTTGATCTATGTGGTCTGTGTTTTTTACTCTTCCCAAGGAGGAATGAAGGCTGTGGTCATTGCGGATTCCTTTCAGGTGGGTTTCTTAAAAAAACTGGTTTTAAAACTCTTACGATTTTTTTTTTTTAATGTATTATAATCCTTAGGCTGCTGTCTTGGCTGTATCCTTGGTTTTGATAGTGGGTTTGGGCAGCTTCTACAGTGGCAATCCCATTCAGGTCTTTCAAAAGGCTGCCGAACACAATCGCCTGGAGTTCTTCAAGTGAGCTAAAAATATAAATATTTCCAGATCCTTACTAATCCTTGATCCTTTAGCTTGGATCCCAGTCCCACCACTCGTCATACAGTTTGGTCTGTGGTCATTGGAGGCTTCTTCTACTGGACCTCGCTTTTCTGCACCAATCAGGCCTCCGTTCAGAAGTGCATGTCCTTAAAGTCCTTGAGGCTGGCCAAGATTGCCCTCGGCTTTGCCATCATAGGCTTGATTGCTGTGTTTCTTCTGAACTTTTACACTGGCCTGATGGTTTTCACCCACTATGCGGACTGTGATCCTTTGACTGCAGGAAGGATTTCGGCCACAGATCAATTGTTGCCCTATTATGTGATCAATACCTATGAGCATATTTACTCTGTGGCAGGAATCTTTGTGGCTGGCATTTTTGCAGCCAGTTTGGGGTACGTTTTAACACTCTAGAAAATTATAAAAAATATATTTAATAATTTATTTCCATTACCAAAACAGAACTGTAGCCTCTGCCTTGAACTCTTTATCCGCTGTGACCTGCGAGGATCTTTTGGTCAACGGAATGAACATTAAAATCTCCCCCGAAAAGGGAGCCACCTATGCCAAGTGGATGTCCTTGGGCTTTGGCATCGCCTCCTTTGGCTTGGTTTTCATCGTCGAGCATTTGGGTGGGGTCCTGCAGGCCACCTTGACCCTAAATGGACTGATTGGCGGTGTCACCTTGGGTCTCTTCGTCCTGGGAATCGCCTGCAAACAGGCTAACACTAAAGGAGCTTTCTACGGAGGACTTTTATCCCTGGCCCTGGTTATTTTCGTGGGTGTGGTGGCCCAGATAGTCAGTGTGGAGCAGCCCGCGTTGCCCACTTCCATCGAAAACTGCGATTGTCATGTGAATTTGACGAATATCATTGGAAATCTGCTGACAGAACCTGTGCAAATCGTTGAGGAGGGAGGATTCACGTAAGTTTTAATTTTAAGTAGATAAAAAGAAAATTAATCTTAAAAATATATTATTTTGGTCAAACAAATTCTACAAAATTATTTTAAGATTAAAATATATATTTTTAAGCTAGAAAATTTCCCCATTTACTCATATTTAAGTGGAAAGCTCAATTAATACCCGTTTATAATTTTCTATATTTTTTTTTGCAGATCTTGGCCAATTTTCCGGCTGAGCTATATGTGGTACAGCATGATCGGCTGTCTGCTCACAGTTTTCCTGGGCTGGCTAATTTCCCTAATCATCGACTTTGTCCAGCGACGAAATGTACTGAAGATCACCGGCAAGGGCATCGATAATCCTGCCGTTTCCGAGGAGATCTTCAAGAGCGACTCCCAGGTGCAGTACACCACCACAACGGTGATTCCCACCGATCCCCGAGAGACTACAAGTGCCGAGGGCCATGTGAACCATGCCATTCGCATCGACGACGAATAGAACTCGAATCCAAAAAAAGTATCGAATTCTGGAGGGGATCGTCGATTCCCACCGGTTTATTCCTTGTGTAACCTGTAACCTCCATGTACAAAGACCAGTCGCAAATCTGTTAACTGTCCTAGTTTAGTCGAAAGAGTGATTTCTAGTTCTTAAGTCCAAAAGCCGAGGTTGTTGGCTCAGTATTCTGTATACACACACACTTACTAATGTTACTACGAAATGAATTTACCTATAGTTTGTTTTAAGTTTTAAGGCATCAAATAAAACCTATATATTCCTGATCAGCTTTTGAGGCTGAAATGTCAAGCAAAGTATTTTAATACTACGGATTCATTTCAGGGATTTTTCAAGGCTTAAAAGGGTTATTTTGGTTTAATTTCCAATTGAAACTGTTTTCCCAGAAAATCAATAAATTTTTTTAATCATTTTTATGTCTCGTTTGTGGTTTTTTTTAGTTTAACAAATATTTTCTCAAAAAGTTTATTAAATTAATAAATGCAATATTTAAACATAAATATTCGAATTAAAAACTCATTATATTTTTCTAAAAGATAATTTTTATTAGAAATTTTAATTCGAAAAATGTTTTAACCGATTATAAATTTAAATAATTTTTTCCTTAAAAACCTTATAAAATATTTTTAATTAAAGAAAGCTTTTTCGTTCAGAAATATAAATTTCAGAAAAGTAAATAAATAAATAAAAATTCCAATTAAAAAGCTCTTTAGATTTTTCAAAGAAGTTTATTTCGTTTGGGAATTTAAATTCGAAAAAATATTATACACATATTAAATACAGTAATTAGAATGCATCAATAAATTTACAATTAAAACATATATGTACAAGGTGCCTTTTCCATTTTCACTTCTACTCCCAGTCACTGTTGCAGTCACAGTTGCAGTCACGAATCACGTCACGCTGATCTCCTCGTCACTATCCGAATTGGAGTCATCGTAGTCATCATAGTAGAGCTTCATGAACTCGGCGCTCTGTGGATGTTGCTGCTGTTGCTGATGTTGCTGCTGCGCATGTTGCTGTTGCTGCTGCTGTTGTTGCTGCTGATGATGATGATGCAGTTGCGCAGCTGCAGCAGCGGCGGCCAGTTCCACCTCCCTCATGGCACTGAAATGCGGCGAGTGATGCAATTGCTGCTGCAGTTGCTCGAACCGCCGCTGTTTGGCCTCCTGAATGCTGTTTTCCAGCTTGAATTTCAAATCGGCAGCCACCAGTTGCTTCTGCATTTCGGCATTGATCTTGGCCTGAAATTCAGAGGCACTTACTCCCGGCGGCGAGGAGGCGGCGGATGAAACTGTCGCTCCCGACTGACCAGGAGTGGGCGTGGCTCCTCCTCCCGATTGATCGCCCATTTTGAGGCTGGTGAGGAGTGGAGGAGGTGAGCTCATCTGGAGGCCATAACCCACCGAAGGGGAACTCCTGCTGCTGGCGGATTGACTGGGTGACTTGGGGGTAACCGCCGCCGCTGGTGACTCATCCTTGGCCACCGCCCCTTGAGGAGGCGGGGGCGTGGCACTGCCATTGGGTGAGAGCAAAGAAGGCGAAAGGGGCGTCAGTGGACGATCGCACTTGGCATCACTTAAATCCGGATTGGGATTATTTTTATTGGGCAGCGTTTGGTCGCGGGATCCTCCACTGGCTAGAAGTTCCCTTTCCTTGGAGTTGCGCCACTTCATCCGCCTGTTTTGAAACCAAATTTTCACCTGAAAATGAAAGGGATAAATGGGTTTAGAAAAAATTCGAGCTTTTGCATTGAAATGGGTAAAATGAGACTGTCCAGCAGATGGAAAGCTGTCGGGAACAGGAAAATGGAAAATGAGGATGGCATTGGGGGTATAGTATAGTTTCAAAACTTTTCATGGCCAACGGGGCGTATGAGTGGTGTGGGTATCAAATTCCGCTTTTGGGAAAAAACAAACTTCTGGCTATCCGGCTATCCGACAACAAACTTTTCTGTGGCAAATTGAATCTCGCGTAAAATCCATTCAGAAATCCACCCACAATCCAAAGCAACCCTATTGAGGGGGCGGGTCGTGTGTGTGGGCGTGGCCATGGACCGGGCAGAAGTTTGAACTGCACTGACATCGCCAGACGACGGGCATATCCATAATAAATGCAAATTAGAGACATTTACCCAAAGCGGCTACAAATTGATTAGAGGCCGCACAGTGGGAAAAACTTAGAAGAAGTGGAGAAATTATGCGAGCTTTAGGAGGAACTTAATTTTTAAAAACAGTTTACATTAAGACAAAACCAGTTTTTAAATATTTTAAGCGAAAGATGTATAGCTAAAGTCATAACAAAATGTTGTTGCCTTATTTTTATCGTATCCATTTTATTTTTAAACAATTATCTGAGAATAAAAATTTTGTTTTTCAAAACACATAAATGTTTTTAAAATACTATAATGTAAGTTATGAAAAATTCTCTCAAAACATAATAGTTTAGAAAGATTTTTTTGAACTTCTTATATGATTTAAAAGAAATTATTATGGTGGAAAAAAGTCCTTCGAACTTCAGTATTAGACAAATTTATTTGGGACCTAACAAATATTCTTCTTTAAGTGCTATTAAAAAAGTATTTTTTTTTGAGATTCCTATTAAAAAAGCTGTATATATATTTAATAAATTTATTTTAAATGTATATTTAATTTTAAATTCTTACTCCTAAATGATCCCAAAATTTGTTGTCCTCTTCCATAATCTACTTGCTATATTTATTTATGTATTCTCCTCTCACGGTGCAGGCTGCAAAGTTGGTCCAGCAAAAATGCTGTAAGTCCTGTATCTCACTTCCTGGTATCCTTTTCGCAGAGGGCTTAGAGCTCCCTGCATTTGACAGGCTAGCTGAGACACTTGAAGCAGATTGCAGGACTCGCCGGGTCATGGATCCAGGATCCTTGGCCCACCTCTCCATGAGCTGTTTTTGAGTTATTGTGCAGGCTGCTGCTCCTCCTGCTCCTTCTGCGCCCTGCATGATGTCAGTGACACAGCAGGACATTCGCACTTTGTAGCCAAGCCCAACAATTTGCAACAAATTTATGGGAGACCCACACCCCGTCGGTAATTAGATTGTGACTTGATGTGAAATTTAAAGCAAAGTGATGCGTGAAATTGGGGTGGAGTTACACCCCCTCAATTAAATTTAAGCTCTGGCATTTATAAATAAGTAAGTGAATGAGTAAACAACGACCACAAAAAGCCGCTGACATGTTGAACATCCGATTAACCGCAGAGATTCCAGCTCCCAATGGCACGTGCCTGATTTTCGGGCTTTTCTTCTTTATTCGGTTTGCTGTTTCGCTTACTTCCGGTCATTGAGTTTTCCAGCCAGATTTTCCCATTTTCCACCCCAACCCAACTTCCCAAGCAATTGAAATAATAAGCTCAGGCGGCGATAAGATTAATGATTATGGGTCCAGCCCGAAAGTCAGTCGAATAATAAGGAATCAGGGGGAAGAATGGTACGGAGAACTTTGGTACCCAAAAACCCACCGTCGTCAGCTCGTCATCGTCTGTTTCTGATGGAAATTAATTATAAAGCGTGCAATTTAGTGTGCCAAGGAAAGAGGCGTCGTCTGGACATTTTCCTGTTTTCTATTCCAAGAGCATTGTTTAATGAACTAACTGCTTATTTTATATAGAAAAACCTGTTCTAGTTTAAAACAAACAACTAACGGACATTTCTCGATAAACAACCAGACGCTTTGGAAATTATAGAATTATGAACTGCACTCGATAGACCCCGAAAACGAGTCGAGTCGAGTTTAGTTGTGTTAGTCCGGCTTGTTAACAAATATTGGCCATGTAACGAGTGTTCTATCCCTCTCCACACGAGGTAAACCTATAATTATTGTCTAACAGAAAAATATTCGTTTTATTTTTCGCCTCTCATATAATAATTTAATTTATGCAAATATTTGCGGGCATCGGCGACAAAAACTAAAATTCAATTGTTGTGAATAGTAATTAGCGGATTCGCGTAAATTGCTTTGTTCGGCGGAAAAGAGGGTGTGAATTTAATGGAGTATTAAATTGTTATGGAATAATCAGGGATAATATTGGCATGTCAACATTTTAGTGGGTCTAATCAAATTGATAACAAATTAATTTCAAATTAGGCAGACAAATTTTGAGTAAAATAATAGCGTTTTAAAATAAATTAAAAATGTGCCTAAAAATATGCATTGAAAATAGGAAAGAACTGCTTTTAAAATGATTTTATCAGGCACTCGGAGTCGAAATTTTGTTTTGCATACTTTAGGCAAAGGACAAACTATGCAGCTAGTTTAAAAAAATTCTGATTTGAAATCATTTAAATCAGTGACAAAATTATGCAATGAAAATAAGAAATTCGCTGAAAGAAGATTGCACCCTTTGATTATTTTTGTTGCATAGTTTTCGACACCTTAATAAATTATTTTTAATCCCTTGTGATTTAGCAATTTTTTTCCCTTACTTGATAGATTTTTTTATATTATTTTCTCAGCTTTAACCCCCTTCCAAACCTCCTTTGGTCAAAACTTTATCCCATCTTCTCGAAATGAAGTTCTTAAGCACTCTCATCTTGAATTCCGGCTAAACGTTTTGCCACTTTGTTAAAGACCCAATCCAACCGCTCTGAATAACTCTCCTCCCCAAAGAAGTAGATCCCATTCCAATGACAGTAAGCCAAAACGATAAGTAACATATTTTTCTGACACGCTGCCAGCATAACGCGCATAGAATTTGTTTGAAGTTTTTATAAACCACCCAGAAGAGTCGGGTGGAAAGTGGGCTACAAATTGCTCCCCTCTTCAGAATGCTTCTCCCTGCCCTTTCTCTATTTTTTTTTTGCCGAAAATTGACTTTGGGCAATGAGCACAAGCTGTTGTTTTTGTGGGGGAGAATGGGAAAAACGGGAGATGGAGTCCCGAATCCTGACTTTGGCAACATATGTTAACTAATGAGGCTGGATGTCGGGGGTGGACTATATACATATATATATCCTTCCCATGGGCAGCCTGTCAACCCATTTCGAGACCCTGGGATGTCATTCGATATGCTGCGTAATAGCGTATTAAATAGTCTGCTACTATTTGTGAAAGTCATTCCGACCGGCAGTTGGCAGTGCGTTTTGGGTTACTGACCATGGTCCATTCGGAGTCCTCCCCCTGTTTTTCTGTGGTTATTGTTCGAGGAGCAGGAGGCCAAGTGCTTGCAAAATACTTTGGCTTGTGGCCGGCGACCGTTTATTTAGCAATTTGTCAACAATTTATATTGTAACCAAAGCTGCAAATGATGGTTTTTAATGTTCGAGGGGGGTTGCAAATTGGCAAATTGATATGAAATTTGAGCTATGAAAATTTTCGGTTGAACTTAAGTGTTCTTTGATTTAAGGGAAGTACGAGTTATTGATTGAGTTGGGTATATAAAGTTATTAAACAGAAAATATTGGATCAACTATTGAAATCGCTTAAAAAGGTGCCTAAAGGTGCAGTGAAAATAAGTTTATATATTATTGCATACTTTTAGAAACCTTTGGAATTTATTTTAAAATTCTTTATGATCTTTATCATTATATAAATATAAAAAAATCTTAATTTTTATAATATGTTAACTGAATATGGCCTAAATAGAATACTAAACATTTTATCTTAAATCTAATCCAGTTCCCTTTGATATTCCACCACAAAACGGTCCTTAAGGGATAACAAGACAAACATAAAAAGCAATGCAAACAACGTAAAAGACCAACCCATATCGAGGGTTAAATACTCTCGATTCCCATTCAGGGATTATTTATCGTACAATTTGATTTAAAGCCCCTGGCTTCTGTCGCCACCGCGAAAAAGAAATCGAAATTGCAAACCAAATAAAACAGCAAAATCCTGCACGCGTCTGCTGTGGGAATCCCCCCCAAAATAAATCCCTGAAAAAAACACACACACAAAAGACAATCCAGACGAAATGGAAAATAAAAATATTTATAACGTGAAAATGCCAAAAGGAGAGTGAGAGATATATGGGGAAATGGGTGGAAATTCCACAGTTGATTGCCAAGCGTTGGCGGGAATTTCCTTTATTCGAGCTGCCGCTTTTCTCCCCCATTTTTCGACAAATCAAAAACAGACGAATTTGTTTTGGACACGACACTTAAAAAGTTGCTCTGTGCGAAAGAGAGGGTCGCAAGCCAGACACGTGTGTGCGGGGGTTGAAAATACTCGTATTATATATATATCACCGATTCCTTGAGCCTTTGTGTATTGATTTAAAAATGCAAATCACTTTTGGCCTCAAGATGTTTTCATTTCCGCTGCGTGATTTTGGCAGCCGCCTGCGGATAACTTTGAGCTTATTTCCCCCTTTTCCTCGCTTTTCCTCGTCTTTCCCACCGCCTTTGTCTTCGAGTGTCATTAATGGCAATTAAATTTATAGCTAGCGGATTATGAGGCTGGTAACTGTCACTTGCAGTTTTCTTTGAAGAGGGCGTGACTGATTGAAGGAGTGTGCCTGATGGGCTTTATTTTTAGGAATTATACAGAGTTCGTTAGACAGTCATAGAACTTGCATTTATATGGTTGAAACGAATTTTATACGACTTTTTTGCAATGCAAATAATTGTCTATCGTTAAATGCAGTGCTTAAAAATAATATAATCAGTTCTCTGATATATATTTTCTTTTTTTTAGAAATTCACTGAGTCATTTCTGTTCTCTGTTTGATTTGGAATGTATTTATCTATTATGTAGACAAAAAAAATTATTTTATATGATTTAAATAATATTTAATAATAATAGTTATTTTATATTAATAAATATAATAATAAAATAATTATTATATTTCCCAATACCATGTGTATTTATTAATTAAACCAGAGTTTACAAATATTCTCCCTTATCTGTTTTCTTTTAGAATTTAAGTAGTGTACATGACTAAGTTAGTAATAAAATCTTTATTCACATGATTTCATTTTGCTAAAGAGTTTTTAAATGCAAATTTAACAAAAATTAATTTAGTACCCTAACCTGCTAACTCATAATGCATTCTAGAAAATTCCATACTGATAAAAACAATTAGTTAATTATTTCCGAAACGTGACTTGCATTGCAAACCAAAGACGAAAAAAAAACGCACCAAAGCCGCCCATAAATCGCGCTGGTGCAATAAACGCTAGCGGTTTTGGGGCTGCCAGCGATTTTTCTCGAGTGCGTTTGTAAAAATCGCAATAAACGTTGCAATGAACAACACTCGAAATGATGAATCACCTGGCCGGGCATCATCAATGCAGCGTTTGGTTTGGCAAACCACAAGGCACGCGACACTGGACAATGAAATGCCCCAGTCTACTCTCTCTTCAAATTGCAGGCCAGTGCAGTGTGTGTCCTGATATTTATGGCTGGCACTGTGCAGCAAAGTGAACAACAAACGGGCTGCAAAAAGTGCAGCAAAAGCAAGGATGTGGAGGCTCTTAAATCATGCTGCATACAACTAGGCGCAGTGCAATGCACTCACACTCGAACAGCAAGGACTCACAAGGACTCACACCCACTCAACCTGTGTCACTCGAGTGTGAATATCCGCACTCGTTCATCACCCCCTCCATATGGGAAAATGGAACCTCAATCCCCAAACCAAAAGTCTCTATCGTTAGCCGTCGTTAATGGAGCTCCCATCGCCGCCGGCTGGCCAACACTTTGTGTGTCCTTTGTCCCTTATCCCTGGATGTCCTCATACCAATTCCCTCTCCTGAAATCCGGCATCCTGTGTCCAGAATTTTCCTCGTCCAGCCACCGCAAGCTGGACACCCGCTGCGATTTGATTGCGAATTTTTCTGACATTTTTCCACATTTTCCTTTAGTTTTTTTTCTTCACTGGGTTTTTTCCTGCCTCTGCCTTTTGTTTTTACCCATTTTCTTTACTCTCCATTTTCACACTTTGACAAACTGCACTTGATATATGTTTTCAAATATCCCAACTAAAGATTTATAACCGAAGTAAGGGCAATAATCATCAAATAATAGTTAAAACTTTTAAGGGAATAAACTTGAACTTAAAGTTTAAGTGTGGGAAAGGTTTTTTAAAAATATTACAGAAAAGTAGCTTTAAATTATAGTTGAAAATTCTTAAGAAATTTAAATGATTAACTTGTAAAATAAATAGTAATATGTTTTATAAATACATTTTTTTTACGATGAAAATTAATAATTTTACATCATTATCATAACTCCTATTTTAAAGTAAGCCATTAAATAGATTTTTAAAGTTTAACCTTTTTTTCATCGGGTTTTTCCATTAAGGTATAACAAAGTTAGTTTATAACTCAGGCGGGTTTTCTGATCTATATAGAATTCAGTGAACTCCATAAATCTAAAGCAACCTATTTAGTTAGCTAAAGCGAGTAGGTGCTTAATTAATCATTGTAAAAATGTCCATTGTTTAACGTTCGTAGTTACCTATAGGGTATTATGCAATTTCCAACTCTCGTTGAGTAACATTCTAACAAATGAAATACTGTCGCATTTTAGTAGACGATCTTTTTCCAGATGCGGAAATTATAAGATCATTAGGGTGTAAGTGATCGATCGAGCAATTGGGTTCCGAAAAGGGGCGTTACCTCTGCAATGAGTTGATGAATTCCTTCGTGAATATCCTGCAAACTGGACACGCTTATTGTTCAATTATGAAATTTTTATGAATCATATGCCAGTGAAAAGCTGCGAAAAGAACAAAAAAGAGCTGCACTAATTTGGCGTGACATTGTCAGTCATCAGCACAGCAGCCTCATCATCATCATCATCGGCCTTTTAGGGATGACTTTCCACTGTGATTGAGTTGTGATCGATTACATTGTGACAAGACCGAATTGGCCACGCAAATTTTTCGCAGCCATGTGAGAAAAAAAAGGCTCCCTTTTCTCTTTACAAAAATTAATTTAATTATTGAAGCCCGTTTGGGAAAGTCGGCAATCAATGAAATCTGCCCGCCGTCTCAGCCGACATGAATTTCTTATAGCTCGTTATAATTTCATTATACTTCCACCTCGACCTCGGGGCTCTCTCTCTATATATATAAATCGGTTTGTATATATCTGGGATATGTATAAGAAAGCGACTGCGCATTTCAAGGAGCGTCGACTGACGGGGGGAAAAACCCCTCCCACTTTCCGGTTTTCTGCCATTTTCCCGTGCGCAGCCATTGCCGTCGAGCTTCCAGGGCGGAGTTTTATCCACTTTTGTTCGCTTTTTGTTTCGGCTTTTTCGGGGGCACTTTATATTTATATTTATATTACTCGCCCGTCGCCTTTTGTTGTCTGCTTATTAAAGCTGATTCGAAAAGTTCGCTAAGCGCACATTTTCATAAGCGGTTAAATATAATTTTATAATGGCATAATTCTGTGCTCATTATGCTTATTGATTTTTCTGCTTTGTTGTCGGGAGTGGATTGTTTATGGATTGCTTACACCAAATTTACAGAGTTTAGTGGGTAAAGTTTTTGCTTTGTAGACAAATGGTTTTAGAAATGCTAATTGGGTGTTGTTTGGGGGCACTTTTGAGAAATTAGGGTGAGCAAACTTTAAACTAGGTTTTTGACTTAAAGACTTATTTATTAAAATATTTTTAATTTGGTAAATATTTTTGTGTTAATTTTTTATTATTTATAAGTGGTAAAAAATAATGTATTTGCGATTTCTTTGTTCGCCTATACAAGAGTAACAAAAAATATTGCCGACTTTTAGGCATTTCTTATTTTGTTGACAACAACTCTACCTAGAGTCAAAAACAAAATGATTTTATTTATATAAAAAATGATGCAATAATTTTACAAATTAAAAAAGACAGCAATTAAGTACTGGCTCAAGATGAAATGCTGATATTAATCTTAAGAAATATAACTTGAAAAGCTTATATTATAATCATAATAAAGTAAATGTTTTTAAATTAAATAAAATATGTTTTAACAAAAATTAAAAAAGGGGGCACCCGGATTCGAACCAGATCCCTGTCGAGCTGCAACCGAATGCTCTACCTCTGAGCTATACCCCCAGTTGAAATACTTGCATCCGAGTAACAACTTAAAGGCAATATGTTTCGCCAAGAAACTTATATAATAGCTTGATTTTTATTGTTCGTGAACAGCGATGAATCGTTGAGGTATTTAACAAAATAAAATATAAACCACATCCCAATATTGAATTAAAAGAAAAAAAAGCTGAAGACTTTATCTCTGATTAAAATTATAGTACCGAAAATCAAACATAAGCGCTACTTAAAAAGGTAAGAATGTCATAAGGATTTCACCCTTAAAACAACAAAAGGTCAGATGTATCCTTTTCTAACAACTAAATAAATTTACTTTCTAAAATTATCTCTTCATCGCCAAAATATTTTATATTTTTATGCTGCTGCGTACTGTAGGTGCTCTTCGTTGCTATTTGCAGGTCCCACACAACTAAATAAAATAGTTATAATCAAAAATATAACTAGGGGACACCCGGATTTGAACCAGGGACCTGTCGATCTGCAGTCGAACGTTCTACCCCTGAGCTATGCCCCCAGATGAGTTAAACACAACTAAATTGTCTATATCATTAAATCTCGCCAAGCTTACTTAAATAAAATCGTGATCGAATCACGAATCAAAAATTTAATTTATCTCACCTGAGAATCCTTTAATCCCAATCTCTCAGCCAGCTTCTTGCGATCCGGCTTGCTGATGTATTTCTGCTGTTGAAACCGCTTCTCCAGACCCTTCCTCTGGGAATCTGCAAGAAGGGGTAGCAATTAATTGAATCCCTTATGAACTGAGAATGGGTTCCCCCATCTACGCACCTGAGAAGACGGCACGTCGCATCATCCCACGGCGAGGCTTCCCACGTGTCGAATGGGCCCAGGGGAATCCCTGGCCAGGAGGCAGGGGAAACACTTGGGCGCCAACTGCAATTGTTGCAACGGGAGAGAGAGAGAGGAAATAGGAAATGCATTAGACCAAAACACTTGTTAATGGGCACAACAGGGGGTGACCATTGGATCTGGTTGGGGATGTGTCACAGTTGGACTGCAATTAGGGGACCTTACACTCGAAAATTAAATCTTGGACTTTAAAAAATATATTTCTATTTTAAAAAGCTTAAAAAAAGACATTATTGTTAAAGTGATAAAAAATTCTGCCATTTTGTAATAATTTTTAAAATTATTTACTTTAATGTAGAAGATAAAACTTCATTTTATCTACATATCAAAATTAGGCTTTTGATTTCTAACTTTTTAAAGACATGGTGATAGTATTAGTATTAGTTTTAAGACACTCTTTAAAAATCTTTAAAGATTCTTAGAAAAATTAACGAGATTTTCCAAGTTCCAGTATAAACGATTAATATTTTTCGAAGTATACATAGAAGGGTCAAAACTCTTACCACTCATGTAGGGATTGCGGCAGTGCGCCAGCAGCGAGTGGAGGTGCGGGTGGTTGAGGGTGTGCGGCAGGAAGGGCGTGGGACGGCTGGGCATGGGCTTGGCAATCACCGGCGGAGGAGGCGGTGGCGGCGGCGTCGGATGGCCATGGCCACCACCTCCTCCTCCTCCTGATCCTCCTCCTCCTTGCAGCTGCTTGTCTTGCGTTAATCTTCGACTGGCATTGTCCTCGTCGGGATTGGAATTCGCCAGGTCGTGCGGTCGACCATCCTGGCCAGCACTGCCATTCCCATTGGCACTCGATCCTCCTCCGTGATTGTTGTCGCTATCACTAATTGTGCTGCCAGGTGACGACGACGAGGATGCGGTTTGCGGTTGACAACTATTGCCGGGATGCTGCTGATGTTGCTGCTGTGCATGTTGCTGCTGCTGCTGCTGTTGGTGTTGCTGATGCGGCGGCAGTTGATGCGTTAGAAATGCGGGATGCGGAAAGTGGGCGTGCCCCGCCCCCGGATGCGGATGGTGATGATGATGGTGATGCGGATGAGGATGGGGATGTCCTGGCACTGGCAACGTTTGGTGTTGCTGGTGGGGATTCGAATGCTGCTGCTGCTGCTGATGGTGTTGCTGATACTGATGCGAGTGCTGCTGCATGAAGTTTTGCTGTAGATAAGGCCATATATGCTGCGGTTGCATGAATTCTGTGGAGGAAGAGTGGTCGAGGCCATTAGTGGTGAATGAGTCACTAAAGCGCGGAGACAGATTGTCTGTCGTTGTGCCCGAAAGTATGCTTTAATTTAATACAAAAATTTCTTTTGTAGTTGACTACCGTGCTAACCCTGCAGGAAAAATGCGAACTAGTCTGAAAAACAACTAGTTAAATAACTAATATAAAGCAACCGGAATTTGTCTGAATGCATTTGGACTACACAGAATCTAGCAAATTTGTGCTAGTCGAAAAAATGATTAATACAAAACTAGTAAAAAATAAACTTGTCTCGGACTAGTACCTTTCTGACAAAAAAAACCTTAAAAATATTTAACTGGTAGAACAAATACATGTTAGGGTCTAGTTAAAAGGCAACTGGAATTTAACTAGTTGCAAATGAAACACATATGATCCAAAAATATAGCCTAGAGGGTAAATGTCTTGGGAAATTTAACAATAAACAAATCAAACACTCGAGGTCCTCGGTTCAATCCCCAGTCTCTGTACATTTTTTTTTGTTTTTTGTTTGCTAGGTTATGCTTTAGTTTTATTTTAAACTTTGTTTAATCTGTCCGAGGCAATATATATGTGAAAAATCACTGTTTATGAATTATGTCACACTAAAATTCATAAACCTTTTTAGGGCATTACAAAATGTGATGCGTGTATGGCTCAATCAGTTAGTGTGCCTACAAATCCAAAGGTCCCGGGTTCAAGTCCTAGAGAGGGCGACTTGCCTCAAAAAAAGTAAGTTTGTTTTAATTCCATTTAATTATAATTTACTGTATTTGATTACATAATAATTATCAGAAATTCTCTAAGGACCGCGCCTATTGATTGGATACTAAATTAGGAGAGCGTCAAGTTAGGCATCGTCAAGTACTAGTGAAATTCAATCACTTGATGGTTTAGAGATGATTTTTAATTTTTTCGTGAAAATATTTTTTTGAGTGTAGTTTAACAGCTGTAACTATAAATTGGTTAACAGTCACTAGTGCAAAACTAGTAGCAAATGGACTAGTTGTTTCCGACGACAAGCATATGAAAAATGAACCACTTCGTTACAAGGAAATGGACATAACTTGAACTAGTTAACCTTCTTGACCCAACTAGTATTTTAATAGTCCAAAACTGATTCCGTTTCCTGCAGGGAATTTTAATTTTATGTATTTATTTTGAAATCAAAGTAAGAAGAAGCAATTAAACCTTTTCATAGAAACGAATTTATAAATTATAATTATGAAAAGTTATATAAAAATACAAGTTAACAATGTTAGAACAAATAAATTAATCTACGGAGTTTGCTATTGAACACCATCAAATCAAATCTTTTAATTGAATTTGTTGCGTAGGAGCTATCATTACATTATTTATCAAATTTTAGATTTTTAAAAATAAAATATTAATATAAAATATTTTATTTGTATAATATAATTGACTTTAATCTTTTTCCCAATCCCAAAACCACTTTGAAGTGTCAGATTGTCAGCCTTGAAAGCCATCTGCCAATGCCTCAAGACGTGGCTCATTCTCAAGGAACCGTTGAAGCGTGTTATGTGCTGTCTTGCCAATTTCCAGACAGGCGCCATAGCCTCCAAAAACACCCCCACCCCACCACTCTCTTTCGCAGACAATGGAAAATGAAATCTGCTTTGAAGTGTCAGTGTGAAGTTGGCATAATTAAAGCAAACACAAACTCGGGGGATAAAGGACTTCACACACAAGCAGCACACACCTTGAGAGCAAAGTTTGGCGCCTTTGATTCAGCAGAAGGATGTGCTATATACAGGATATCGGGGGATGGAAGCCCCCAGATTTTGGAGTCCTGTGTGTGTCTGCATTTCATTTTCTAATTAAACACCCCCAAAAAGGCAGCCGCTTTCCCCCGCCTTTTCATCCTGACAGACTGGCAGTTGCTGCAGGATATCCAGGATATGATTTTAATTCGATTAGAGAGCTGAAACAATTAACGAATTAACGCCTCTTTAGTTTTTGGTTTGCCAAATGTGTGTGCGCGTTCAATTTGATGCTTTTCGACTTTTGTGGCCAACAGCTTTTTGCTTTTAGCCCCGAAAATTGCCATTTCTATATGGAAGGATACCAATTATCCTTGTGTGTAGGAGTGTGTGTGAATGTATGGCACACATGTGTGCCTAATGAGCGCACAAATTAAGTTATAATTGTTCGCTTTTGTTTGTTTTGTTCGTCGGCGGTTTACCGACTTTTCTGTATCTGCATCTGTGCTGCGAAAATGTGGCAAGTTTTTGGCCTTATTGGTTTATGGCCCTGGCAAAAAAGTTCATTTGTGGCTTACTCGAAGGGAAAATGCCATTTACATTTTGGGGGAAACATTTGGCAAGTCAAATCCAATCATTGATTGGAATACGATGGCAATTAGTTGGATTATTGGGGAGGGGGACAATGCATAGAGAAAGCTATCAAGTGGATTAGGGAATATTAAAGAAAACTTTGAAAATAGTTTGCGTTGGATATTAAGACGTTAAAATTTATTTTGATATTATTTAATTAAATTATTTCTCTTATTAAAAGCAAATTAAAGACTTATAAAAAATCATACAATATTTTTGATGAGGAATTTTGATTTGAGGAAATATTCAAAGAAGAACAAAAAATAATACATTTTTGAAAAAGTTCAATAAAATCGAACTCATTTAATAACAATTAATTTATAATCATATCGCATCAAAATAATTCCTATAAACTCATTGGCCTAATATTATCTCTAAACTAAAATAAAATATGTTATACCTATTAAATAAATTAAGTGAAATCAAACCCATTTGATAACAACTATTAATTTGTAAACATATCGCATTGACGTAATAATATATCATTAAATTCAGAAAATTAGCAACCTTTTTTGCCACGCGTTTGCCATAAAGAACAGCACGATTTAACCCCAAAAGATCGCCAATAAAATGTCATAAAAAATAGTCATAAAATACGGGAAATCAGAAGGTCCGGCCCACTCATTAATATGGAAAAGTAAACCGCGATGCCATAATCACATGACAATTAAATCCCACAAATCCCAGAGACTAAAACAGAGATAATAGTAAAAAACGGCCAAGGCAAAAGGCTGTTACATTGACTGATGGCCAATTGGTTCCGCCTACTTTTTCAGACCCACACGCAGGACCTTTTCCAGATCTGTTCCATAATCCATAGAGAGATTCGATTCTCATCCCCCGTTGTAAGCAGCACGCGGCAGAGGATCTCTCCCATTCAGATCCTCAACGGAAGTGAGGATGTGAATGTGCCGAACTGGTTATGCGGCTATGTTTCATAGAGGGTCTATCTCTCTGGCTCAATAATTTAAACATGATTAGGTCTGGTTGTGTTTTTACAGCCTGCCAGCTCAGCGGCGAAACGCCCCGAGGGCTTAGAGGCCAAAAACCCAACACACAATAAAATCACGGCGTAAAAACTAAGGCAACTGCGAAGTACCAGGACTTTTGGACAGGACTCACTCCCCTTTGAGAGGAAAGGAGATTCGTCGGGAAACTTTCGTATAGATTTGTTATTCTTTTGGCTTTTCATATTGCAATTGTATTCTGTATTTTGTTTTCGTTCAGCATTAGCCACGGCAAATTAATTGCCAAGCCTTTTTATGGCATTCTCTCAAGCAGCCCGCGGCGGGAACCTAATTGGAGGAAACTATCTCAGGGACTTAGGACCACTTCAGAGTTAGAATGTACAGATGAGGTAATTAAAAAATATTATCTTTGTTGCAGAAAAGGGTTTCGAATGAAGAAAAAAAAGATTAAAAGACTTTATATCGCTTCAACGGACCTTCTATTATTCCAAGTTGAAATAAATCATTTATCCATTATGATTTTAAAATAAAAAAAAATTAGCTATATAAAAAATATAAAAATTAGATATTACTTTTAAATTAATAGATTTAATCGAAAAAAAGAATTTTCAAAATAAAATTTTTTAAATCATTCAAATGTAAAATAGAAAATATGTTTTTCAATAAGAAGTTATGGTCTAAAAAAAGAAAACTTTAAACGGGGCTATATTTTTTTTATCTACGGTAATAAGTTCGAGAATTTATTTTATAGTATGCTTAGCATTATAATTCCATCGGCATATTCAATTCCGTCTTAGATGTTATTTAAATAGCTCATAAATCAATCAGTTGAATGGGGCTTTATTATTATTAATTTAATCATTCATCACACCATTAGACGAGGTATTATTAAAGACTAATTATAATATGAAGCTGGAAATATTAATAATTTTTAATCGCCGTGTAGAGATCTTTTTAAAAAAGCTTAAAAGAATTTTAAAAAATGATTACATTTATAAGCAAAAAATAAGAATGAAAATTTTAATATACAACCTAAATAAATCCCGCAATTTTTATAATAACTTACCATTCCTAACGCGGACTCCTTCCCGGGTGTCGCCAAGGATCGCGCTGACACTGAACTTGAGGATGGGCTTGCTGTTCGTATCCTTGAGGATGGTGTTGCCCACCGCCGGCAGGCTGGTCTCCTTGGGCTCCACCTTGGGCAATTTGATTGCCACCGGTTCGTCCACCTCGGCCAGCTCGTCCTCCAGTCCATCCTCATCCAGGTCCATAGGCGGCTCCTCGCCCTCGACACTGCCAATATCGGCCACGATTTCATCCGCCGACGAGGAGCCATCGTCCTCGTCCATCTCCATCTCGATGCTGTCCACACTCTCGGCACGAAGGATTTCGCGGCACTTATCACACTTGTAGCCGCGCAACTTGGAGCAGCCGCAGGACTCGGCGGAGGGCTGTTCCGCAGGATCCACCACAGGATCCCCGCCACCCGAACGACGCGACAGGAGCATCTCGCTCAGGCTAGACTTCAGCTGAAGCTGGCTTTCCGTGTAGGTCTGCTGGGCGTGCAGGAGACTGTCCACGAGAAAGGCCGTAGACATAACTTCAAGGAGCTGATTGCTCTATATTTATTTTCCGTAAATTTTATATTTATCCGTTTGATATTTCGATTATTTTATTCCCGCCAGTGGTCGCGTTCGCGTCGAGTGCTCAAATCGAACTGAATGCGGTGGCAAAATATCCTGGCAGGCGCAGGATGCAGCATCCCAGGATTTTCGATTTCAGGGGTTGCTCGCCGTTGGTTGGTTGGTTTCTCCTGCCCAGTAAAAGTGCCTTCTGCGTGGCACGTGATTCTTCCTCCTTATGTATATCCTGCTCTCTCTCTTTTCCTCACTCTTTCTCCTCAGGAGAGCGCGTGTTTGTGTGTTTGTGTGTTTGTGAGTGTCCTGTTTAGCCTTTGCCTGCTCGTTATTGTTGTACGCTTTTTATTTGATTTTATTTGTGTGAAAACAATAAAAATTTAATTTTCTTGTTTTGTTGCCTGCGCCACTCGCTGCCTTGAACTGAATTTCCCTCGATCTTATTAGATTTGTGCTGCTATTCCACGGTGCGGCACAGTGGGGCAAATCGGTCAGTTGGTTTTACAATTTTTTCATCTTTTTAAGTAAATTTGGAAAAATAATTAAAAATTTGTAAGTGCACTTCAAAAAAATTTCAACAATTTTAAGTGATTTTCGAAACATACATATGTTTTTTTAACGATATATATGTAATTTTTTAACGATGTCAATTACATTTAATTTTTTGTATTGATTGTAAGTAATGTAAGTTTTATCTGACTAATTTTCTTTAGATAAGTACTTAATTTATTATTTTAAGTGACCTAAATATATTATATTATTATAAAGTTAAAACATATTTTTTTAAATATTTGGTGATATAAATGTTTATTGATATAAAAATGTAAAGCTAACTGCCTTTTCAACGATATTTTTTCCAACTGGTTAGTTGGTAAAAGCCCATTTTTGCAATAAATATTAAAATCTTATAAAAGTTGTATTTCGATGAAAATAAATATTATTGTAATCCAAAGAAATAATCGCAAATAGTTTATTAACAAATAAAGTAAATCAGTTCATAAAAACAATCGGAACTGGACTTCTCCATCCATAAACTTTTGAATTTACGCAAGCAATTTGTTGCAGGCACCGTCGGCGTGGACAAAAAGAAATGAATTCCCCGGCAAGCGGCCAAGGAGTCAGTAGATTAACTTTTATTATGACCGCAAATTAGTTGTCCTCGTTGATGACGACAATCGAGTTTATCGACAATGATGACTTATTTACTTTGGCTCGAAAGCGTAGTAAATGCGAAAATGGCTGAGCATCGCCTGGCATCGGTTATGTAAGCTTAGGAGCTAGATAAAGGCAGGATGTGTATGTCCTTTTGGCCTCTATTGTGTGTGCACACTACAACGAGAAAGAGAGAGAGCACAGAACAGAGCAACCCTTGTGGCTGGGAAAAGTGTTTCGGGGATTTCGAAGGAGGAGAAGGACCTCCCCGCTGAAGAGGGCGTGGCCTCACTCGAATTGGAAACCCATCAGGCGATGAAAGGAGGAGAAGTGCCCTCGACAATAGGAAGAAGTACAAGGATAACAAAGGCCCCAGCTCAGATTGTTTTGCGCTGCCATTTGTGGCTTTTTGCTTTCATATGGAGCACGCCTCAAAGGATTACCCCCGTATCCTTACGTATCCGTATCGCCAGGACCTCGACTTCTTCCTTTCTGCTGGCAGCGAGTACATAAAACATGCTCATATAAGCGTATAAATATGTGATAATAATGATTAAAAGTTCTCATCATGCCATCATCATTTATGCAAAGGATTTCGCTGGCGTGTGTGTGGATGTAGCTATGCTGTGCTGTGTGTGCTGAAGAGTCCTTACATTTTTATTTGCCACCGACACATGGAGCAGAATATTTTCCATTTTCTACAATTTATCCCGGGCTCCTCTCTCTTAGTCGCTATCTCCATCTCTTTTTGTAGTCGCCATAATATGAGGACAATTATTTGATAAGTGGGCTGAATGTGCAGTAGTCGTTCTGAACTGAATTTCGGATACGGATTCCATCTGCCATTGTCATGGCAGAAAGCTGCTTTTTGACAAATGAAAGGGGTCACCGAAACACAGACTTTTGTCGAAAGCCCCCCTCAAAAAAAATATATATCCTTATATCTCCTCCTTTCTGTTTTTTGGGGGGAAAGGGGAAGGTGTTGAAGACAAACTTTTAATTGTTTTTCAGAGTGTTGCCATGGCCCGAGTTTATTTTCATTTTTATTTTTTTAATTTGTTTGCTGAATTGGAAATATGTAAATGATGTTGTTGGGTCTCTGCATTGGGGATTATTGTGCTGTTAACGTTTGGCTTTTTGGCTGGGCTTTGTGGGTTTATTGTTGGGCTACAGTACATTATGGCTGATGAATGTAGAGGAATTGTTGGAAATGTCATAGATAAAATAGTAGACATTTATTTTTGGGATTAAGTAACAATTAAAATATTGTCGAATATATCTAAAGTTATGAAATCACTTATAAAAGTGACTAAAAGTATGCAGCAAAAAAGGAACATCCTCTCCGCCATTCAAAAATATTGTTGCATACTTTTTGACAGCTTTATAATTGATTTAAAAACGTTATTGATTTTAGATAGCTTTGAGGATCAAAGGCAACTAATTCCCCGAACTTCATTGATCTAAACAAATCGATCTCTTTTCTCTGATACATTTAACGCACAATCTCTTTTAAGAAAAGATAAGAAAAAAATAAGAAAGGATACAATAAGACATCTCACACACAGAAGAAGATATGACTCTCCATCATAATGATAAAATCAAAGCTTATTATTACACATCTCCAACTGCTTTATCCACAGCCTGAAGCCTCTGACAACTCAACTTGCTTCCTTTTTGAACTTACTTTACCCAATCTGCGCGAAAATACCCTTGCAGGTAAAATTAGTTGGCCAAATTCAAAGACTTCTTTCTGTCAACGCTGCCACATGCCACTCCAGAGCGAATAAACAACTTCATGGTTCTTTTTTTGGGGGGGAAATACTCGCATTCGTGGAATCGAATGCCGTTGACAGCCGCATCATTATATGGATATCATTATCGTGTATCGTCTGCAGTCGGAGCGGAGGAAAAAAAAAAGGTAAAATGTCACAAGATGCTGCCAAAGATTGGGTTGGGGTATAAATATGGGTGGTTGAGTGGTTCTGGTTGGGAATTCTGGTTTGGGGGCGTGGTTGGGCAATATAATAAAGCGCAAACATTTATACACGACACTCGATGCGAAGGACGATATAGAAAAAGCATTCCAGCCAAGTTAACTGTCGATATCAGCTGCTGCCATGGCCATGTCCCCACCACGCCCATTCCACCCATTCCGCCCACTCACCCCATCGAAATGAATGCGAATTCTGTTTGCCATCGATTTTCAGCACAACGTTTATTATTTTTATTATATTCGCAGCGAGTAGCAGCTAGAGCACAGAATGCTCTTGGGGTGGCTGCGAAATTATGGGCTTTTCATAACGTTAACAGTCGCATAAATACGCTCTTTGTGTCAGCCAAGTAGAAAAAATGCGATAAAAGATTATAAAGTGTGTGTTGTCGTTGGCTTTTGCTGCCCAGTGGTTGGAGGTCCTTTCAGAATATTCCGGGGTTCGGAGTTCGTTCTCGTTTCGTTCTCGTCCTGCCCGGCGACATCTGTTTCCGACATCTTTTAATAAAATTTTCATCTTTATTACAAAACGATTGTTTTATGCGCCACGCCCCCTCATCCTTATCCGCCTCCTTTCTGCATTCCTGCTAAAATCCCCGAACTTCAACTTGAACTTGGACTAGACGACGTGTCCTGCTGGCGGAAGTCCTTCAGCGGAGTCGCGAAAGGAAGTAATTAGAATGAAGCGATTTTTAGTTGCCAAGTTTTTCGCTCCCTTATCGCTTTTTATTATTTTTTATTTTTATTCACCGAAAAAGTTTTCATGGCCCACCCGCCGCCGCCCAAACAGTTTATGAAAATATTTTCCATTCTTTATTTTATTACTTTATTTCACTTAATTTGATTGCACACGGTGTGTGTGTGTGTGTTTTTTAACCCATTCGAGATTGTATGGAAATAATTGCCAACTTTATTGGTTAATTTATGAAATTTACACAATTAAAGGGGGTTTGAGTGTGTGGTTTGTTGGTAGTGTTGTGGTTTTGCGGTGGCTCGCATTTATTTATTTGTGTTTTTGGACCATGTGGTTGGAAAGTGGCGTTCAGTTGAGTGGCTGTTAAGTGGGCCTAGTTAGGTGTGTAATTACGTGAGAAAAGCTAATTTAAGTGGGCGTCTCAAATTGTTAAGTTTGGTATATTAATATAAATTTGTGTATTATTTTGATAAATTAATCTATTAAATATTTTTTAAAATATTCTTTAAAGGTTTCCTTTAGGTTTTGTCATTTTTATTAAACATTTTATAGCAATAATTAATTTCCATCTTTTTCTTTGCAGTTCATGACCTCTGATGAAGTACTCTTTTTACCATCAAAACCAAGAGAAACACTTTTTTGCCGTATTATTTTTTACAATTTTTTTCCAGCTGAACTTGGTTGATTTTTGATATACGCATGAGGGCGCTGATTAAGCCAACTGGAAAATTCGCGTATCCTCTGCTCAACCCACGCCCCAGAATTGCAACAGCAAAAAATAAATAAACAAAGCTTTAAAAAATCAAAGCGAGTGACCGGGAGTTGAGTTGCATAATTTTTACCAAGAGAAGAGAAGAGAGCTCGGCAATTAATATTTTTTATTGCATACAAATTGCATAATTAGTCAAAACTAAATGACAGGACACACAAGGCGGCACACAGACCCAGAAACTCAAAAGGATAATAACAATAATAAAGGAGCAAAAGGGTAGCAGCAGACAACAAATGTGTTGTTGTGATTAATAAAATTACACGAAAGGAGACGCAGAGATGGAGGGATAAAGGATAGCAGGAAACAACGAAATTTGACAGCTCGAAACAATAATAACAGAAGCAAGCCCACAGGACTCGAAAGGGGGTTGAAAAATCCTAGATTTCCTCGGCAGTAAAAAGGCTCATCACTTGACGCTGCGGCCAAGAAGGTAAAATGGAAAAAAGGAAGA